TCTCCTCAGATCTTGGAAAGCAGGTTTGCAGGCAAGGCCTAATCAAAACCCTGGTTCCTGGTGTCTTCTGGCCCCGTGAGAAGTTCTTACTCTCCATTCTGGAGATGACGTAGTGAGGTCTTCTGCCTCAGACTTCTTACAGGGAATCCTAGAAGCAATCTTTGGAACAGAGCCTCCCTCTTTCAAATCCTCCTCCGAAGCCTTCAAGTTGGCTGCGGGACCTCTGAGCCACAGGGACCCTCAGCAGAGCCTCGGTCACACAGGAGTCAAGAAATGAGCTTCACATAGGTTTTCATGCCCCGTGACAAACGGCAATGTCCCTCTGCAAGTCGGCTTCAAAGCAAGGCATGCTCCCGTCCCGTGTCTCCAGTCAGGAGAGTGAGACGTGGTATGTTAGTGCGCCCACTGAGGAAAAACAGGCCTCTCTCAGAGTGAGCTCTGTCCCTAGGGGGAGGCTTTCCATGCACAGCTACTCCTGAGAAGGGGGATGGAAAGAGATTCAGATTCTTCTAGAAGCAGCACCAGCTGTTGGAGTTAATGTGGGAAAGTGGCCTATGGGTGGGGCTTTGCCGTCTTTCTGCTGACCGATTGTAAGCAGCACGCTTCAGGTGCGAACGCCCCTCTCTTGTGTTCTGGAACCGTTGTGTAGTGTGCTCTTTGTCTATTTCACGAAAGCTCTGAGTGGGCGCTAAACTTTACTACTGTAATTAATGCAAGACGTGTGTGGGCTTGAATTAAAACAGAGACAAACTCTCTGCTGAAGTGCCAGCCGGTGGTGCGGGAGCACAGCCTGGGGCTCCCAGAGGGTGTGAGTGACACCTCACAGTGACAACGTGTGTATGTGTGCATGAGTTTGGGAAGATCCGGCAGGGCCAGCCAGTTCGCCGTAGTTTGGGCTTCCTATTGCTGCAGACGCAGGCTAGTGTCCTTGGATTCCTGCATCCAGCATCCATATCAGGTCAACCTGAGTGCTTGCCTCTCCTAGACCCTGTGAGAACTCTCCTGTCCCCGATTCTTGTATGCTTGTAGTTCTGAGCATAAAGGTGGGTCTCAAGGATGGCCAGACCGGTGGCTAAAATGTGGCCATATGTGTGCGGTGTTCAGTTGCCTAGGAGGCCTGTCTGCGCAACTTCATAGGCACCATCCATCCTGGGTCCTGCACGGTCCCAGACCGTGACAGAGTTGCATTCACAAAGGGGCAGAATAGAGAATTCATTTCTCATTATCGCTATTTTCTAGAACAACCTGGGTCTGTGTGTGAAAGTGGGAATGACCCATGTGTGAGAAAGAGGTAGGGCCATCGCTGCGCAGGGAAGCAGTTGATTGGGGACTCGGTGGCTGATACACGGTCCTGTGTGGCCGCAGGACCAATGGATCCTCAGGCTATTACCAAGGTTTACAATTTTATTTACCAATGTTGTGTGTTCCATATGAAATCTCCAGTCCCAGATACTTAGAAGTGACTGACGTATCGATTGTCTGAGGTCGACTGCAGAAGTCCTTGGTATATTTTACAGTAGAAATAATAGAATTACACCGTGTAAACAGCTTTTTAAAAAAATCACTTATTGTTTGTTATGTGTGTGTGCACATGTTCTGTGGTACACTTACAGAGGTCAGAGGATGACTTTGTGGAATTAGTTCTCTTCGACCTTTATGTGGGTTCTGGGATCAAACTCATGTCTGCCTCGTGTAGCAAGTACCTTTATCCCCCAAGCCATCTGGTCAGCCTCTGTGTAAATTGTAGTGGCATTTCATTGATATTTTAATAAATAAAGCATGCCTGAGGATCAGAAAAGTAAGACAGCCACACTGGCCAGCCTCACAGACCAGACAGTGATGACACACACCTTTAATCCCAGTAGCCACACTTGCTTGCCATAGAAACCAGGCAGTTGTGATGCACACCCTTAATCTCAGAACTAGAGAAGATTATAAACTGGGAGGAGACAGCTCTCACTCAGTCAGTCTCATTCTGAGATCCCTGGAGGCAGGATCACCATTTCAGACTGAGGTGGAGTGAGGTAAGAGCCAGTGGCTGGCTGTTTTGCTTTTCTGACTTTCAGGTTGAACCCCAATTTCTCTCTCTGAGTTTTTATTAATCGTGCTTCAGTAAATGGCTTTCAGGAACGTGGGGAAATGCTTGCTTTAGCACTTGGGCAAAGAATTGTCCAAACACCATTAAGAACAACGTTAAGCATTGAGGGAGGGAGGAGAGAACCCACCATTAATGCTTGTTAGCATGTACTAGAAAACTTCAGCCATCCATTACCCTGTGTACCATGTGTGGTTCATTCAACTTTAACTTGCTGTCTTGTACATGTTACACACACACACACACAACACTGGGCAAATGTGTCCTAATTTTATAATATCTAGTCTCTAGATACTAAACCAGTTGCCATTTTAGGCAGACAAGCGTGAAGTCATCTTCCCTCTGATGGTCTCAGTCAGGTGCTGCCTAAAGTGGGGCTTTATTCACTGTGTATTTTCTCTTCCGTAGGTCCCCAGCTCTCAGGAAATCCCACAAACAAGGAGAAGGTGGACTTCAGTGGACATGACAGGGTCTCTGGTAGGTTCTACCTCAGGACCCAACGGCAGAGCACAGAAAAGACAATATCTGTGCACACACCTGGAGAGGATAGACAGGGTGAGGGCTGTGCAAAAATCCAAAAGGACAGGAAGAAAGAGAACAAGACAAAATTTGAAGAGGGAGAGAATAAAGGGCTTTAGAAGACACTGTATCAGGAGATAGCCAGTGGCTGGCTTCAAGGACAGCAGCGCCCATGAAAAGTTTGGCCAAACCAGCAGCAGCAGGAGCCAGGAAGATGGCAATGGAGAGGAGTGGGGACCATCAGGAAGGAGGTGCTTGAGTTGTGAGCTGAAGGGAACAAGAGAGAGAAGATGGCAGGTTAGGTGGGAACTCAGGAGATGAGTTACAGGGTTTGCTAAGCCTAAAACTGGAGAGAGAAGAAAGGGAAGTCAGGGAGATTATGGGATGGGGAACTGGGAGAGAAAATCCTGAAGCAGGACACACAGCCTGACATATGTGTTGTGAGGGTGAGCTTGTTGGGGACTGCCCGGACTGGGGTAGCGTACAGAGCGCACGAGTGTGTGTGAGTGTGCAGAGAGAGAGAAACAGATTGGAGGAATTACAACCAGCCAGGTGATGATGCTGGGCAGCTTTGAGAAGAGGAGAAAATGACCAAGGGGCAGCAAAGGGAGGGCAGGACGATAAGGAGGCAGCAAGGCCGCATGGTAAACTGCAGGACCATGGCAGCCTGGTTTTCTGTGCTGTAGGTAGCTGGGGAGGCGTGAGCTGCAATTCAGAGGAGGCTTGCTTGAAGTGAAGCTATGCATGTGTGTTCATGTGCACACAAAGTGTGCGTGTGCCTGTGTGTGTGCCATGCTCACATATCTATGAGACCAGGACCAGAAGAAACCTTCAGGCGTCAGTCTGTTTATTGGCTCACTATAGGCTAGAGTGGCTGCCATCCAGGTCCGGTGATCCGCTTGTCTCTGCCTTCCCGGGGCTGGAGTTACAAGTGTGTGCCTCCACTCCTGGCTTTTCGACGTGGGTGCTGGGGCTCAGACTCAGGCTTCCATGCTGATGCAGCAAGCTGAGCCCTCCCCCCAGCTGCTGCCGTGGAATTTTGCGCTGTGGATTTCAGGGGCGTCAGGGAGAGAGGTAACTGAAGTCTCTCAGTACTTCTGCCTTGCTCTGATCAGACCCTGCGAGGGAGAGAGGTGCTGGAGGAGGTTGAGATTCGGAGAGATTAAACTTGTCTAGTAGAAAAGCAGATGATGGCCTCAGAGACACCTCCTGAGCAGTGTCCCATAGGAAGGCACAAGTCACTGTAGCCCATCAAGTTGAAGAAAGCCACGTGAACTGTCTGGTATGCTAGCCATGGTGAAATGGTTGTATTGAGTGTGTGATGAAGTCAAATGCCCCTGTTTATCCTGAACTGTAGTTCCTTTATAAGGTAGAACCCCCCCCCCCACCTCCGTCCAGCTCTCTGCTGGGGGCTACAGCCTGTGAGTGGACCCTGCTGCCACAGAGCAGCATCATGGTGGGCTTTGGGGTCATGCGTGCTTCCCAACTTGGCAACCCTAGGTGGTCTTCTAGGAGACAAGGGTCCAGGGAAAGTAGCTACAGACCTGGAATGCCCAGGGCTCTTCCCAGAGCCTCTTGGTCATACCTAGCCAACTTTCTGTAGTGCTGGGTATGTCCAGCAGGGGGCCCACTAGTCCCCTTCCGCCTCTGTTCCTGCCTCTGACCGCTAGATGTCAGTAAGGATCCAGTAAATTGGTGGCTGTGGGCGGGACCAAGAGAGCCAGCTTGCTTTTCTGTGCGTGTCTCATCCGGTTTCCCGATCTCCAGCTTCTTGCCGGCCTGTCTGACTGCTTTAGGGGAACTACCAGAGCTGCCTGCTGCTGGCTGGGAGGTTTTTGCTGCTTGGTACAGATGCCTTGAGATCTGAGTGTGGGAAATGAGGCGCCTATGGTTCATTTCCTTGGTCTTTTGGCGGCGGACCTGAGCAACGGCGGTCTTTGCAAAACTTCCCGTGCTGTTGGGGAGGTTGCTTTGTACTGGACCGCTGGTGCCTGCAACCGCGTCCTCCTGGAAGTGCAGGCATTTGGTGTTTTACTACTTAGGTTGAGACCTCTGACCATGTGGCTCTACTCACGACTTCTCCAAACTGCCCGGGCAGGTAGAGGTGTTGAGAAAGAGCGGTGGCACTAGGCTTGGAGAAGCTGTCTCAAAGAGGGAGGGGCTGGGCGGGACTCCGGGAAGAGTGGGGGCGGGGCTCTGCCTGAAGGGCGTGGCCCCCAGAAAGCCGGTTGAACCCCGGCACGCACACGCATGCTGCTGTTATGGCTCAGAGTCCTGTGCCGGCGTTTCCAGCTTGTCCCCCGCCGCGTCCCCTGCTGCCAGGCGTCCCGGGGCGTGAAGGCCAGCAGAGGAGGGTAAGGCGGGTGGGACGGAGCTCAGGGAAAACAGGGTGCAGCATTTGATAGTGGCTTGCCGGTTCCTGCCGGGTCACCCCAGGCACGTTGGGAAATTCGGTCAAGCACGTGGTTGGGCTGGGCCTCCGAGCTGCCGCGTTTGGTTGGAGGAGGTCCCCTTGGAGTGTGTTTCCCAAGTTCTCTGGTTGGACTCGGACCCACTTCAGGAGTCCTACGCTCTTTGTCACGTGGCCTTAGCTTCCAGTCCTTACTCTGGGTCACCAGCCTGCCCTGCTGGATTTCCTGAGGACTGATGACGAGGCCCTGAACTTGCGTCCTGGGGTTGGGATGGTGTCCAGGCTGAGCGTCTCTTTCCGATTAGGGCTTTTCAACCTCCTGCCCTGAGGTTCCCGGGAGCACCCAGGCAGAACTGTCTGTTGAGGGATTGTTGCTAACTTTTACAGCAGGCCTGCTGACCTGCCTTTGGTAGCTCAGCCCCTGCTGGGGGAGCTAAGTTCTTGGACCTGGGATTCCAGGGAAAGTCGTGCCTATCCTGCCTGTCCCAATGGGGCAGAATTGTGTCCTCTGGGAGAAGTTTCTAGATTACATGTGCACGGCAGGACACCCAGGTAACTTGCTTTTGATGCCCTTGCTTGGTACTCTGTCTCTGACGGGACAAGGGAATGTCACTTACGCCACAGTGAGTTTATAGCCCTGATTTCCGTGTCCTTGTCTGTGACATGGAGGTGGGGGTAGAATTCACCTAGCAGTTCTCCGTGCTGTCCACATTTTATGACACTGGACTGGGTGGATGCTGGAGGAAAGTGTAGTCTGAGCCATGAAGCACTTCTGCATCCTGCCGTCTTCAGACCTAGATCCCACCTTCAGGGTGTGCAAGAGCGACTAACAGCAGATCTCTGCTCCACCTAGATCCCTAAGATAAGTGGAATGGGATTTGGAACCTTTGGCCTGGCCGGCACTTTTCTCTCTTCCCCTCCTGCACTGTCCACATAATGCCCCTCAGGCATCCAAATTTGCCAGAGCTCTCAGTGCTTGTGAAGCCTGGTCCACACCTTGCTTTCCCAGGGCATACCCAGGAGTGCTCTGTGGTTCAGGACCTGGCCATTTGTCCCCTGACCTCCTCACTTTCACTCACCATAGCTCCACTCCACCTGATTCCTTCACTGCGGAATCAAGAAAGCCCCCTTAAAGAATTTCTGTCAGGGGCTGGAGAGATGGCTCAGAGGTTAAGAGAACTGACTACTGTTCCGGAGGTCCTGAGTTCAATTCCCAGCAACCACATGATGACACACACCCATCTGTAATGAAATCTGGTGCCCAGAATACTATATACATAATAAATAAATTAAAAAAAAGAATTTCTGTCAGCCGGGTGGTGGTGGCGTACACCTTTAATCCTAGCTCTTGGGAGGCAGAGGCAGGTGGATCTCTGTGAGTTCGAGGCCAGCCTGGTCTACAGAGTGAGTTCCAAGATATCCAGGGCTACACAGAAAAAAATTCAAAAAACCAAAATAAACAAAAATGTCAAACCAGGCATGATAATGTGAACTTATTATTATCCCAGCTCTATAAGATAATATATACTTATATATTATGATAATATATGCTTAGTCCCAGCACATGGGAGGCTGAGACAAAAGCACTAAAGTGTAAAGTTAGACCCAACCAGGTTTTAGGACTGCTCATCTCAAGCCGCCTCTTCCCATCCTGGCCACTGCTCTGCTGGGATTTCTCCCTGTCCCTTGTGGTACCCAGGACCTTACTGGTAAAGAGCCTCCCATCCCTGTCCCATCTTCTCCCAGCATCTCAGTGTCCAGCTCATCCGTGGTATCTGTGTCCCAGGACCTGGTGCAGTGCTGGCTTGAGCCAGGCCCAGATGAACAGGCCAGGAGAGTTCATGCAGTTAGGATGTGACCCCATGCTGGGCTGTGTCCTACTGGCTCCTGAGTGGGGCTAGCCTGGGAAGGGATGAGCCGTGTGGGGAGGACCTGGCAGGGAGCCAGCCAGGGCATGCCATGTTGCCAGGGTGCCATCAGAGTTGGTGCCACACCCAGTGTCAGCCCCTGAGGTGCCTGCCTCCGTCACTGCCCTTGCTTCCCTCTGCTCGCTGCTCCTCTGTCCATGCAGCCACAGCTTCTGTCTTCCTGCCCTCCCATCCCCCTGTTCCTCACAGGCCGGTCTCCCTGTAGCAGCCACGCTCTTTTAATTGCCAGGTGTAATGGCTGTACTGAGGGGTTCTCTGTGGGACCCTGTGAAGAGGTTCCAGAGGGGCCAAGCTGGGGATTCCTTGAGCCTCAGAAAGGGGCATTGCCCCCCTTTCTACTCAGCTGGGCACCCTGAGTTTACCCTGGCGGGTAAACACTGGAGTGTGGCGGCCTGTCAGCTGGCGGGTACACACCGGACTGTGGCGGCCTGTCAGCTTTTGCACTACCTCGTCAGGCATGGTCCTCCTCCTAGGTAAAGCAAAGGCCAAGGGGGAGATCCCCAAGTGGGCTGGTGCGGTGAGAGCGGGGCGGCACTTGTCACGCTCCTGTCTTGTCAGGTGGGAAGAAAAGGGCACGACCGGTGTGAAGTGGAGGCAGCTGGAACACAAGGGCCCCTACTTCACCCCTGCCTATGAGCCGCTTCCTGACAGCGTACGTTTTCTCTATGATGGTAAGGGCGAGGGTCCGTGTACTCGTGGGTTTGGGCTGTCTCTGTACACAGTCACCATGCTGAGAAGAGATGCTGACCTTCCCAGCAGAGGGTGCAGAGTCCTCTTCCCTGCTTCTTGATGGTCTGGCTGGTAGCATAGAGGGCAGGGGCTAACCTTGGAGTCCCCCAGAAACTCTGTGTGTGTGTGTGTGTGTGTGTGTGAGAGAGAGAGAGAGAGAGAGAGAGAGAGAGAGAGAGAGAGAGAGAGAGAGAGAGAGAATATGCACCAAGATGTTGATGGCCGCTGATAGGAAAGAGGAGACACACATTTGTGTTTCAGGGACACAATTGTATCCAGACTTGCCCAAGGTTGGGGTGAGCTGCTTTGGTCTCCCAGCCGCTCCTGAGTACACATTGACCGTGCACATCTGCATCTAGACCAGGCAGCTGGTGAGAGGCGGTGGTGGAGGGTACACAGGGTGTGCCATGTATGTCCTTGCGTGTGTGGAATGCGGAACCTGTTCCTATTTGCTTTTGGTATTTTGAAACAGGGTCTCACTGTGTAGCCCTGGCTGTCCTGGAACTTACTACGTAGACCAGACTGGCCTCGAACTGAGAGATGTACTTGCCTTTGCCTTATGATTGTGTGCACACAGGCTGGGCCCATATCCACCTATGATGTGGCCGCAGGCACATGTGCCACGGTGCACTATGGAGGTCCAAGAACAACTTTATGGAGTCAGTTTTCTTCTTCTTTTTTTTTTTAATTTATATATTTATTGTGTATACAATATTCTGTCTGTATGCCTGCAGGCCAGAAGAGGGCACCAGCCCCCTTTCTGTCTTTTACGCCAGACCCAGGATCAAACTCAGGTCGCCACGCTCACTTGGCGAGTGCCTTTACCCGCACCCGTCTTTGCTGAAATTCTCGTTCTGAGACTCTTCCGACACTCATTTGAGAGATTTGCATCAGGAATAGCCTTGGCCCGCACCTGGTGTCCTGTCGTGCTCCTGTGCACTCTGTGTCCCGCTGACCTTTCCATGACCTGCAGGAAGTCACTGAGCATGGAGGGTCATACTCTCCCACCATCATGCACTAACTTTTATTTTGTTCCTTTAATTTCCTATGTGGAAATTTGCATTCCAGAATTTTACGTGTTGGGGCTGGAAAGAGGGCTCAACAGTTAAGAGCATTGGCTGCTCTCCCAGAGGTCCTGAGTTCAATTTCCAGCACCCACATGGTGACTCACAACCATCTGTAATGAGATCAGGTGCCTTCTTCTGTTGCGCATGAATACATGCAGACAGAACACTGTATACATAATAAGTGGATAAAAAGAATTGCACATGTTAGGGACAAGGATATAGCTCCGATGGAGTGTTTTCCTGGTGTTCAGAGGCCCAGGTTCATCCCCAGAATTGCAATAAAATGAAAATATTTTTTTTTAAATGCGTTTGTTTTTGGACCATCAAGATGGCTCAGTGAGCAAAGGCATTTGCCACCTAAGCCTGGTGACTGGAGTTTGATCCTTGGGACCCACATAGAGATGGAAAGAGAGCACTCCCTCCACAAAGCTGTCCTCTGACCTCCACAGGCCCTCCCTGGCACGTGTGACACCCCTACCCCTGTGTGAGATGTATGTGTGCGTACACAATAATAATGGAATACACACGTTGATTTTTTTATATAATACAAGCTTAGCAGCAAGATGTAGCATAGTAAAGTAGCGAGTGGCTAGAGCTGCTGCCGCCCCAGTGATGCTCCTGGCGCTGCCCTGGGAGTCTGTCGCCCTTACCTTAGGCGAATGCTGGTCGTTCTAACTTCGGTGTGCTCAGAGTGTACTGCATACTAAGGTAGAAGGTTGTGTCACCTGGACGGGCCCGTGGCGGTCCCTCACTTGGCATATGTGCTATTCACAGGAAAGCCGGTGAAGCTGAGCTTGGCAGCGGAGGAGGTTGCCACTTTGTACGGGAAAATTCTGCATCTCGAGTGTACGACCAAGGAAGTCTTCCAGAGGAACTTCTTCAGTGACTGGCGGAAGGTGTGTGTCTCAGCGGCCCCAGCAGCCGTCCCAGTCCCGTCTGGTGGGGATACTCTGGGGTGGATGCCCAGCCAGCTGCCATCTCTATCGCCCGTCCAGCTTTCAGTGACTACAGTGTTTGCTGAGCATGGCAGACGGTGGTGACCTTGTCCTGGGGGCTCTGATGACGTCATCCAGCTCTCAGAGTGGGAGGCTGGAGCAGTCAGTTTTTAGGCACCATGGAAATAAGCACACAGTATGGAGATGCAAAGATGGCATGAGGTTTCTCTTTTCCCTTGTTTTTTAAAACATGTTACATGCGAGCCTGGCCAGATCTTTGCATCTTGTTACCTAGCAACCACATCCCGCACCCCCAGCATTTCCCTAGTGACTGATAGCATTAAGCATCTCTTTGTTTGCCATCTGGATATTTTTATTTTTGAATTCTTTGAGACAGGGTTTCTCTGTGTAGCCGGACTGATCTTGAACAGAGACCTGCCTCTGTCTCCTTGAGTGCTGGGATTAAAGGTGTGCGTCACCACACCCAGCTTGCTTTCTTCCCGCCTTCCTTCCTTCTTTCTTTTCTTTCAGTTTTTGAGACAGGGTTTCTCTGTAGCTTTGGAGCCCGTACTAGAACTTGCTCTGTAGACCAGGCTGGTCTCTAACTCACAGAGATCCACCTGCCTCTGCCTCCCTAGTGCTGGCATTAAAGGCGTGTGCCACCACCGCCACATTGCTTCTTTCTTTAATGTATATGATTGCACTGATGTCACATGAGCCTTCTCTCTGCCTAGTTTTGACCAAGATTAATCCCAAATTTGAATTCACTATGCTTTGTGGTATGTGGCCTGTCTGCTGTGCCTGTGTCTGTCCCTAACAAAGTGCTTTGTTCTGTATTTATTGAACAGTTACAGAAAACACATTAGGTCAGGGGCATGGAAGAGTGCATAGTTTAAGATTAAAGCTATACATTAGCTTGGGTTGTAAAAGCTGACACAGAAAATCTAAGGCATAATAAGATTGGTTACATTGTTTTCTTTTTCTTTTTTTAAAATTTATTTATTATGTATATAGTATTCTGGTATTCTGGGATATATGCTTATATGCCAGAACAGAGCACCAGATCTCATTACAGATGGTTGTGAGCCACCATGTGGTTGCTGGGAATTGAACTCTGGACCTCTGGAAGAGCAGCCAGTGATCTTAACCTCTGAGTCATCTCTCCAGCCCAGTTACATTGTTTTCTTAAAGGCAGGTTAAACAAACAGGCTGAGAGCACAGTAACACAGCAGGGTTAAGTATATACTCTTTCATTTTATTTTATCTGCATGAGTATTTTGCCTGCATGCACAGATATGTGCATCACACATGCCTGGTACGATGGGTACCCTGGAACTGGAGTTAAAGACAGTTGTGAGCTGCCATGGGATGTTGGGAATTGAACCCAGGTCCTCTAGAAGAGCAGCCGTTCATTTCTCCAGCCCCAAGTTCATAGCCTTAAGTGATCGTAAGGCATATTAACTTGACTGCATAGTTTGGCCAAAGTTCAAACCGTCAAAGGCAAGAGGGATTTTTAAATATTGCATCGAATGAATTTGCTGCAGCTTATCCAGTACTTTCTAGCTTCTTTAATTGTCCCGAAAGTGCAGCTGTCATCACACCCACGGGGACAATTTGCACAGGATGGGGATCTCCAAAGTGGGGCTAGTGGCTTGGGGATTTTACCACTGTCGTTACTGAAATGTTAAATTACACTTGGAAATGGTTATCCTTGGCTACCCGAGATCACCACCCTGGGTCTGTTCTAGTAGAGTCCATTACTGCTGTCTGGAGTCTGAGAGTCGAGCCGTTCTGACACGGGGAGCCTGGGGTGAGCCGCTCTGTCAGCTTTGGCCCCTGATGGTGTGGGACATGGCAGGTCTTGCCCTGGGGAAGGATGTGGATTCAGGCCCTCACTTGGCAATTTCGTTTGGCTGTTTTCTGAAGGAGCAAGGCTCAGGATGTGAGTCAGGGCCACCGGTCTGATCCTGAGACTACACACGCTGTCCTCCAAGCTGCCCCTGTTTGTCCTGGGTTTACCTCGTCATGCATCCATGCTATACCATGGAGGCAGCTAGTGCCAGCTGAAGTCACGTGACTCATTCACAGGCCTCCACTGTGCTGCTGGGCCTCTGAGATAATAGTTGTTGGAGGCTGAGGGTGTAGTGCCGTGGTCCTCAGCCTTCCTAGTGCTGCGACCCATTAATACAGATCTTCATGGTGTGGTGACCTCAACCATCAAATTATTCTGTTGCTACTTCTTAACTGTAATTTTGCTATTTTTATGAACCATAATGTAAATACCTGATATGCGGGATATCTGATATGCAACCCCTATGAAAAGGTTGCTCAACCCTCTAGAGAGGTCATGACCCACGGGTTAAGAACCACTGGTTTGTGGGATGGCTGTAGCACTCTGCCTGGAGTCCAGCCTCACAGTGATCCTGTGTAGTGGGCTCCAAGTGTGGACTGTGCCATAGGGAGGTACCTGGGTTAGAGCACTGAGCACCTGTTGCTGGTTTTGGTACAGGAGATGACAGCTGAGGAGAGGAAGCTTATCACACACCTTGACAAATGTGACTTCACGGAGATCCACAGGCACTTCGTGGAAAGAACTGAGGCCCGCAGGACCCTGCCCAGGGAGCAGAAGCAGGTCAGCACTGGGTTCTGGGACACTTGGTGGCAGCTGGTGGGTGCAAGCTGCAGGGAGCCCTTCACAGAGCCTTGCTCCCACAGAGCTTAGGAGGAGGACCGCGCTCTGTCACAGCAGGTGCTGAGTACTTTCCAGCAACACCCCCTTTTTTAAACGTGTCCAGGATGCAAGTCTGTTTTCCAGGGTCACATTTGAAACTACACTACCGCTGGGTGGTGGTGGTGCACGCCTTTAATCCCAGCACTCAGGAGGAAAGGAAGGTGGATCTCTGTGAGTTCAGGGCCAGCCTGGTCTACAGAGTGAATTCTAGGACAGCCAGGGCTGCACCTGCCTTGAAAAACCAAAGGGGGGTGGGTGGGAGGGAAGGTGCACACTACCATTTGAAATGTCATGAGCAGCAGAGGACCCCAGGGTGGGAATGTGGGGTGAGCTGGCTCTACCGTGCTTCTTCCCACATCTCCCCTCTATATAACGGAGTCCGCCATGTAGTTCTTCCTCAGTTATCTACTTCTTGTCCAGCTATTGGGGGATTTGGGGTGATTCCAGAACTTGGCTCATTTCCTCCTGCATTGAAGGCTACCCTGCTCCTGCTGAACTGCAGCTTGAGGAACTTAGTGCCATGTGCGCCCCATGCCTCCTAGAGAGCCAGGGATTTGAGGCCTGCAGCAGCAGCAGCAGCAGCAGCAGTGACCTTGGCCAGCACAGGAACTGGATTGGTTTTAGCGTCTCTCCTAATGACCACATCTTGTTTTAACTCAGAAACTAAAAGAAGAGGCTGCAAAGCTGCAGCAGGAGTTTGGCTACTGCATCTTAGATGGCCACAGAGAAAAAATAGGCAATTTCAAGACAGAGCCACCCGGCTTGTTCCGTGGCCGAGGTGACCATCCCAAGATGGGGATGCTGAAGAGGAGAGTTATGCCAGAGGACGTGGTCATCAATTGCAGCAGGTATGTGGGACAGGGTGAGCACTGGACCCTGGCTGGGTCTAGCCCAGGCTGCCTGGTGAGGTGACTTTTGTCCTTAGCTCTTTGGGTCTTGGCAGGGCTCGGTGTCAGCAGGTGTAGCTGTGGACAGCATCCCTCTGCACCAGCGGAACCTCTTGTCTTGCTCAGCAGGGCTGGGGTTCTCCTGTGTGTTTTCAGCGTCTGGCTTTCCAGATACCTAACAGCATGGTGGGCATGGGGCTTACTGCATTCTGTTGGTACTGGGCTGCTATTACCCCTCAAACTCCAGCGACCCTAGGTGACAGCGGTGTGCAGCACCCACCTGGGATGTGAGCTGGGGCTCCTGAGTTCTCTGCACAGAGCTTTCTGTTCTGGTCTGATCTTGGGGGGCGGGGGGGGGGGCGTGTGCATGGAAGCGTGCACATATAAGTTGGCAGCTGTTTTGGTCTGGGGAGCTTGGAGCTTGAAGCCATACCTGCATAGGAGTGTGGCCGCGGGACACATGCGAAAGTTACCCTGAGTTGCTTGTATTTGAGGACCAAGAACTTGGAACTGTAACTACCCCTGCTCTACTGCAGGGATTCCAGGATTCCCGAGCCCCCCGCTGGCCACCAGTGGAAAGAAGTACGCTCAGATAACACAGTCACGTGGCTGGCTGCGTGGACCGAGAACATCCAGAACTCCTCCAAGTACATCATACTGAACCCCAGCTCCAAGCTGAAGGTGAGAGCATGACCCTCCGGGGGAGCTCTGTGCCCTGGAGCACGTATCAGGCCGTCCCCTCTGTGCTGTTCCGGGGCAGCAGGTGTGGGACAGTCTTCAGCCATTAGTTCAGCCTTTAGCAATTATCCAGGGTCAGCCAGCCGATGCTGAGAGCAGCTGGGCCCGGTGACGGCCGTCTAACAGGAATCTGAGTGGGGCTTGGGTTTCTGAGCCAGGCTCTGCTGCCTCACCCCTCACCCAGTCAAACCTGCCTGGGTTGGGAAGGTGTCCAGACACCTGCCCAGCCACTTCATAGGACGCAGAGTGACGTTTCTTGTCTTCACGTAGGGGGAGATGGATTGGCAGAAGTATGAGGTAGCACGACGCTTGAAGGGGGTTGTCAACAAGATCCGCACTCAGTATCAGGCGGACTGGAGGTCCCCAGAAATGAAGAAAAGGCAGCTGGCTGTGGCTCTTTATTTTATTGATAAGGTATAGTATGGTGTGGGGACCTTGAGAGCTTGGCAGCAAGGACAATGGTGGCTTCTCCCTGGAGCTGGAGCTCTCCCTCAAATAGTTACGTGTGTGCAGATGTAATTGTATGGATATGTGTACACCTCTGTGTGTGTGTGTGTGTGTGTGAGAGAGAGAGAGAGAGAGAGAGAGAGTTAGTCTGACTTCATGCCTGTGCATGTGTCGCTGTATATGCATAAGTGCCGGGAGGGTGTTCCTATGTCACAGACCACAGCCTTGACCGGTGTCTACCCTGGTCTAGCTGGCACTGCGAACAGGAAATGAGAAGGAAGAGGGGGAGACAGCTGACACCGTGGGCTGCTGCTCGCTCCGTGTGGAACATGTCCGGCTGCACGAAAAGGCGGATGGCCAAGAGCATGTTGTGGAGCTGGACTTCCTGGGGAAGGATTCTATCCGCTATAATAACCGTGTGCCAGTGGAAAAGCTTGTGAGTCTCCCTTTGACCCTGCTCACAATGGGATCTCTATCAGAGCGGGGCCTGCTGCACCTTGCAGTGTCTCCTGCGGCTGTGTACTCAGGCATCAGAGCCAGGACTTAAACACAAGCGCACATGCACATGCACACATGTACATACACGCATACACACACATGCACACACACACAAGTCATGCACACACACAGTCATGTGCACCCCTATTATAAGTATTTTGGCCTAGGAGACCTGACATCAGGGTTTGGGTGCCGGTTCCTTAGGAGCATGGGGGAAAAAAAATCTGATTCTTGCCTCCCCCTGCTTCCATTGGTGTCACGCATGCCTTGCTTTCCTGCTCGCTTGGTTTCTGCCCCATGAGGTTTGATGCAGCTGCTGGTTAAGCTCGGCCTCTGTTGAACGCAGCTGCTTTCTCCCCGTCTTCTTCTCTCACACAGTGCTATCCTCTCAGGAGCAGGGCCACTGTGTGGTCCCATCTTGATAGCTACACCCGTGGCCAGCCTCTTTCTACAGAGGGTCACATTATAAGGTTCCAAGGATGAGTTGGTGCCACTTTGGCACCTTTGGCAGGATGGGCAAAACCTAAAACTAAGGAAAGGCCAGCGCAATCTGGGCAATCTCCTCTGGAAGTTGGCCTGGCCAGGAGGATCTTCATGCCGTGTCCTGAAAGGGAACAGAGGCGGGAGTCGGTCCTGTGATGCTAGGTGTGTCTGATTTGGCCACAAGTACAGGGCCCTGGATCACCTGGGTGGAAGTCAGCGTGGTTGGCCATAGCTGCCTGCTAAAGCCACTGAGTGAATCTGTAGAGACACAAAAGGCCTGCTCAGCCACATGGCTGTGGATGGGTTAGCAGTGAGTGACCACGTGCAGGCTTGGGTTGGGAGGCACAGATGCAGGTTGCAGTGGGTAGGCCTGGCACTACGCTGACCCCACCTCTTTCCAGGACTCGGTGTGTATACCCCTCTGTTCTCCTCTGTAGGTGTGCATGCATGGTGTGATCTTTGCCGTCCCTCACGAGGCCACCTTCCTGCTCCGCTGGCTTCTGCTCGGAAGTCTCAGTGTGGCCGTAAGTTAAGCTCTTCTCTGTTTCAGGTGTTCCAGAATCTTCAGGACTTCATGAAGGACAAAGACCCGAGGGACGACCTGTTTGATGCACTGACTGTAAGCCTTCACGATGGGCACAAGAGGTCCAAGAAAGGAGGGGGAACTCAAGTTTGGCTTGCCTTTTTCCCAGTGTGTTCTCTGCTCTGACCCAGAAGCTGAAGCCCCCTTCCCTGCCCTCTCTCCTGGAGGCTGAGAATAGCCCACGACACTCAAGTCTTCAAGGAAACCATCCGTGACTCCCTCCTCCTCTCTGTACCCAGACTGCCAGCCTGAACAAGCACTTGCAGGACTTGATGGAGGGGCTGACAGCCAAGGTGTTCCGGACCTACAATGCCTCCATCACTCTGCAGGAGCAGCTGCGGGTGCTGACCAGGGGTGAGTGGGTTCTTACACCTGACCCTGGGGGCCACCCACACTGTCCCCTGTGGGAGCTGCCTATGGGCTGGCTGCACCTTGGCTTGCCCTAGGCATGAGCTGACGTAGGGCTGGGCACAGCTGTCTGTTGGCAGAAGATTGCTCCAGGTCAGTCCCTGCGCAGGAATGGCCTTGCTGGCACCCAGCAAGGAGGTGTCGTGCTTCTTGCTCCACCTCTGCTAGCTGGTGTCCATTTGCAGTCTGTCCTCACCCCTCCTCCTCTAGGTAGGGCCTTGCCTCTCTTCCTTAGTCAGATCTTGGAGGCTTCTATACCCTAAGCACTCCTGACCCCTTTTGTACCCTCAGACCTTTCCAGTTCTCATTCCTCTGCATCAACCTGGGATCTGTCTCCCCCTGCTGTCTTCAGATGCTCAATGGAGACAAAGCCTGCCCAGTATTTGCTTATTTTGCTTTTCCCAGCATGGAAAAGTATGAAGGTCAATGCAGACCACCCCTGCCCACTCCACTCCCTGGGCAGGTTTTCCTCAAGGAGACACTGAGACCCATGGACTTGGGAACTCACTAGTCAGGGCAAGGTGAAGACTCAGTGCCATTAAATGTTTAATCCAGACTATTCCCCCACTAAATCCCAGGCAGCCTCAAAGACTGATCTGGAGCCAGTAAGCTCATCTCTCGGGTGTCAGGGCAGGCAAGTAGGTAGGGGAGCCCTTTCTAGAGGACCATAGGAAGCCAGAAACCTAGGCAAGAGAGCATCCTCCCAGGCCCAACCTTGAAGAAAAGAAACCTCAGGGTCCTGTTTCCGAGTTTGGTTTTGTAAGTCGTGTAAGAATGGCCTCCTGCTCTGGGAATGCCTGGTCTTAGAATCCTTCAGGTGGGAGGAAGTGTGAGACAAGTGGCCATGCAGATGGGTGACGTACATCCGGAACCTCGGCTTCTCAGTGACGTAATTGGAGAGAATGTGACCTAGTAAAGCTCGGGTAATAGGGCCTCAGTGTTGTGGGTCCTTGTGGTGAGGATCCCGGACTGCACGAGCTCAGACAACATGACCTCACCTTTCCTCGGGCCTCGGGGCTTCAGGTTACTCTGTTCCAGAAGAAGTGGTGGAGCTTGGGTCAGCTTTGGGGCTCCTGCCTCTGCCAAATAGGACATAGTCCAGCTCCCACAAAAGGTGAGGACTCTCAGTGCCTCCATTGCTATGACTAAACTTGTCCCTGGCTTGTGGGGACAGCTTAGGTCATTTCCTCCTTGGGACCTTGTGTCATAGAAGGGACCCACATTTACAACATGTCTGGAAAGAGCCCTGAAGGGCTAAGGATGTAGCTCAGTGCAGAACGCTTGCCTGGCATGCCAAGGCCCGGCCTCCATTGTCAGCACCTCCAAGGACAGGAGGGAGGAAGGGAGGCCAGAGCAGGGGGCAGCAGAGTGACGGTTGCCATTGTCTTTGCCCAGCTGAAGACAGCCTAACCTCCAAAGTCTTAGCTTACAACCGGGCGAACCGAGCTGTGGCTGTCCTCTGTAACCACCAGAGAGCAATCCCCAAGACCTTCGAGAAGTCGATGCAGAAGCTCCAGCAAAAGGTGGGAAGGTGCCTGTAGTGACTGTCTCTGGGCCACTGTCTCATTCTCCTTTCGTCCCTGGGGCCAGGCAGTCGCGAAGGGCAGGAATGTGTGTTGGGACCAGGGACTTGGAATTGCTCAGCCATGGAAGGAACCAGCTTCTAGGTTCAGAGCCAGATAGGCTGCTTCTCATCTCCCTGCTACGACACAGCCTGTGTTCTAGTCTAGAAAGAGGTCGGGGCGGCGGGCATGTTGGATCCATTTGTGGCTGGTGCAGGTGGTACTATTGGACCCTAGAGGCCTCTTGACCTCACTCCTGGCCACAGGACAAGATAGGGTCAGCCCCATGTTGCTTCACGGGGCCTTCTCCCGGGCTGTTCGGCCATCTGAGTTGTTTCAGAATGTAAGGCACCTGGAGTAGTTTATCCAGCATTTGTGAGCTCTGAGTTCTATCTACTGTAACCCCCAAAAGAATATCGGGCCAACAGCTGTGGGGAGAATCCTGAGGGACAGAAGCAGCCATGTTAGGGTTGATTTCTTCACAGATTGAAGCCAAGCAGGCCCAGGTGACTGAGGCCCAGGTGGAGCTGGAGCAGGCCAAGTCTGACCTTAGAACGCGAGGGGAGAACAAACCCAAAAGGTACGTGCGGGGCTGCCGCCTTGGAAGCCGTCTGGGTGTGGTCAGCCTTGGGTTTTCTTTAGCTAATTTTGTGATTTCTGAAAGCTTTTGCTCCTAAACAGAAGTAATGTGATAAGGAACAGCCCTGGCGCCTGCTGCAGGCTGCAGGCCGGCTGTGGCTCTTGCTGGTTTTTATCTTGGGCAGTTGGTTGAGCTAATTTTCCCAGAACGCATTTTACCCTTCCAAAGTGCACGGCTATGTTGGGCGGGGTAGTGTCCTTTACGCATTTGCAGAGGCAGAGACAGGCAGATCTCTATGGGTTCAAGTCCGGTCTGGTCTACAAAGCAGGTTTGAGGGCAGTCAAGGCTACACAGAAAGACCCTGTCTCAAAAAGGACCAAAACCAAACAAAAAGCAAAAGCAAGCCCTCAGTTCTGACGGGTGTGTGGCCAGTTTCAGAAAGAGATCGTGTGGCCATCAGCAGCTCCTCCCACCTTCTCGGCTTCCAGCAGCTCCAACAGGCTTCTCTGGGGTCATAGGTGTGGCTGCCTTGCCTGGTGAGCCCACTGGGTCTTGTTTCTCTTACGTCATTTCTGGCAGTGGTTGTGTCTAACGCTTTTTCTGGCTCCACAGTGCAGGTGGATTCCCGAGTTCTCCCGTGAGAGCTTTATTGCGCTAGCTATCACAGAAGTCCTCCGTTCATCTTGAATTCGCTTTTGTCTGGGGTCTGAGGGTCCAGCCTCACTTCCTGGCATTGTGTGCTAAGGAAAGGTCTCTGCCCTTGCCAAATGCGCCCAGCACCTGTGTTGGACATCGGTTGATTGCAGATGTGGGGTTCATTTGTTCTGTTTATCTGTGTCCAGTGTCAGCCCCGGTCCATCCTGCTGGCTGCGTGTCTGGATCAGGATGAATGAGATTTCCAGCTTTTTCTTTTTGTTTGTTGGTTGGTTGGTTTGAGACACAGTCTCATTGTGTACCCCAGGCTGGTCTCAAGTTCACAGAGGGCTGGGACTCTCAGCATGCACCACTGCCTAAATCCTAACTTTGGTTTTCTCTTTAAAGATAGTTTTAAATTCAAGTGGGGACACTTGAAATTCTCCCCCATGACCATGGGGGTAGTATTGAGTTTGCCAATTGAATTGAGAGCACCACACCATGAGTCTGAACACAATCAGTAAACACCTGTAATCCCAGCACTTGGGAGGGAGAGGACCAGGAATTTCAGAAGTCAGGATCAGCTACATAGAAAGTTCAGGCCCATTCTGGGCCATGCTGAGAGCCTATAAAAGGAAAACCAATATAATCAAAACTAAATCTTATCTCTCTCAGCAAACATTTGTAGTTTTTCAAGGAAAAGCTAAGTATCGTGTTTTTATGCAGCTGTAAATGGAATTTTCAACTCATATTTGGATTAATTATGGCTAGCTTTATTAGGGCTTCCCCAGGCCACGTTGAGTCCAGTGCACGGGCTCAATATACACTGTGCTCAATATAACAGGGCACGGGCTCAATATACACTGTGCTCATGGCTGAGATCTGTGACAGAAGAACACGCAGAATATCTGGGCTGAGTCTAGGCCTCCATGCAAACCTCTCTCCATGGCTGCCTTGTCATTTCGTGGTTTCAGAACCTCAGTGCTCTGCCCCCTGCACACCTGCACCTCACATCTGTCCTCATTGCTGCCCACTGCACACCTGCACCTCACATCTGTCCTCAGTGCTGCCCCCTGCACACCTGCACCTCACATCTGTCCTCAGTGCTGCCCCCTTCACACCTGCACATCACAGTATTACACACACACACACACACACACACACACACACACACACACCTTGATACATGATCCACATTCCCATTCAGTAAGTACAACCCTGCAAACATCTGGACAAAAGCATCTTCACAGATGTCACTAGAAGGCAGACTGTGTCCTGGTGAAGCCAAGCGTACTCCCAAATTCCCAGGTGTAAGGGAGCTCGTGTGCCCTGCCTAGGCCTTGCTTCTGATCACTTCTGCAGTGACCTGTTCCATTTGGAGCTGTGTTCTGGCAGCCACACTGCCCCCCAGGGGAAGGCCGAATGGGATCAGGCCCTTTGTCAAAGGCTGCAAACTGCTCATGCAGGAGGCTGACAGCAGCAGAGTCCTCGAGCGCCGGGTCCCATCTGCTGTGCCTGTGCAGCTTGTGCTGTGGTAGCAGCTATAGGATCCACGTGCTAGGAATGGTCACAGGCTGCCACTCCTGATTCCTTAAGATGGCCAGTGCTAGGCTCCCAGCCAGCAGGCAGCCTAGGTTCTCAGCCTAGGACCCCAGAGGTGTGCCCAGAGTTGGCAGGGCTGCCATGGTTGTTAATGTCAGGTTTAGGTTAGGACGAGGACCAGCAGGAAGACCTGTGAATTCATGACTCCAGAGAGGTGACCTGGACTGAGTCCAGTCCTGAGCCTTTGCACACCTCAACGTGTAGAGTCAGAACAGACCTGCTCAGAAAAGCCTACCAGCCTGGATCCCCAGCCTTTGGGTACCAGGGGGCATCAGCCCAGAGCTCACTAGCAACCCAGCTCTACGACTTCAGGGCCCAGGGTGGCTCCCCACCCCCAGCCCCCTCAACTTCCCAGGTCTGTCTCCTCCCAAAGCTTCCAGGAGGCACAACCATGGTCAAGCCACTTACGGAGACTTTCAGACCTTAACTCGGGTTCAGTTCTACCCCTCCCCGTGGCTGCAGGAGCAGCTGTGACCTCTAACACACCCATCCCGGCTCCTTTTATGGCGGTCGAGCCCTCTGTATTCATAAGACGTGAAGATTGTGTTAAGCAGTGTAAGCGTCTCCACGCACCTGGATGCAGAAGCCATGTAACCCTTCTTGTATTTGTTTGGTTTTGGCAGGGGAGGTTGACACCAAGGTCTCACTACACAGCTCTGGCTGGCCTGGAACTCTGTTTGTAGACCAGGACGGCCTTGAACTGACAGAGAACCATCTGTCTCTGCCTCCTGGGTGCTGGGATTAAAGGTGTGCACCGCCACACAGTCCTCCACAGGTGATCTTGACATCTTACCCTAGCATTATTTTTTTTAAAAGTAATTATGTATTGATTTGTATGTGTATGGATGGTTTTGCCTTCATGTATGTGTGTGCACAGAATGTCCAAGGAGGCCAGAAGGGGGCATCAAATCCTCTGGCTGAGCGCTTGCTGCCTTGTGGGTTCTGGGAATCAAATCGGAGTCTCTGGAAGAGCAGCCAGCCCTCCTATCCCTCCAGTCCCCTTACCGCGGTTTTAGTGCATTGGGTCCAGGCTCCAGGTGCACAGAGGAGCGTCGTCCACTGTACTCTATCCTTTCTTTTGCTACATCACTTCCACCGCGTTACAGTGAATCTGGTGAGTCTCACCTTTGATGCCCACGGTTGTCATGTCCTCAGGGCCACATCTGAGTTGATGCCCAGGGGTGCAGCATGTGCTGGGCACTGAGCCTGCAGCAAAGGAGACACAGGAATCAGCAAAGGGAAATGTTTTCAAGGGAAGAAAACGTTAGAGACCCCAAACTCCTTGTGTATCCATCTGTTCCCTGTGTCACTGGCATCACAAATAGGATGACATGAGAGGGGCTGTCTGTGTGAGACTCCGCCCATCGGGACAGCGTCTGAGGCCTGTCCCAGTCCTCTGCCACAAGCCAAGACCCAGACGTAAAGAAGGAAAGCCAGGGTCAGCGTGAACCCCGTTATCTGTCTGTGAAACGTGTTGAGCCCAGTGCGCCTACTGACTAGCGAGAAGAGCAGGAACCCTCCTGAGATACTAATTCTGGCACCACCTAGAGCCCCGCCTCTCGATGAGCTGTGCTAGTCAATCCCAGGTGTGGTGGCTTTCGTCCCACCCTAACTTACGGAAATACGCTGCTGGTGGCCTGTTTGCTTCGTTCTCTGCTCCTGTAAGCGGTTGCTAACTGTTGAGCGTGTACAGAAGGATATCCACCATCCCACGGAGAGACGCTCGACTATTCCTTTCTGGCACTTGGGTCTTATGTTTCCTTTTCTTGACTTGACTAGACCCTCTCGAACTCGGTTAACAGTCAGTGGGGTCCCCTTGTCTTGTGTTTGACCCGAGAGGCAAAGTTTTCACTCATGAGCCCCATGGTCACTGTGGGTTTTCATAGATGCTTCTCCCGTATTTTGCAGGGTTGTGTGTACACACACATGCAATCGTGATGCGTGCCGGGATTTGTCACATGGTCTTCCACTGAGAGGATTGTGGAGTTTGTCCTTTTAGATGGCGCTGATTAGTCTTCAGATGCAAAGCCCTTCCTTCCCGTGTTCCTATAGCTGGGCGCTGTGTCCTTTCTCTCCTGCTGGAGGCTTCTGTATCATTGGAACTTTTGTTCTGTATCCATAGGGATGCCTTTGTCTGGTTTGATCAGAGTAATTCTGGCTTCAGAAGATGAGTTGGGACACGTTTCCCTCTTATATTTCAGACCTGGGGGTTATTTGGTGGAATGCCCTGGCTGTGCCCATAAGGGGGCTTTGCTTTGGGAAACACTTCTAGTGACCACCCTGGTCTCCGCTTGACATATATCTGCCCAGGTTTCTTATTTCTTGAGTCAGTGGCTTCTGTTGTTCTGGGCTTATATTCAGGGATAGGACTTTTTGTGCCCAGCTCTCCACGACATCCCCACTGTCCTTTGTGCTTCTGTAATGTCCTTGAGCATCCCTGATCACATGACAGTGGTTCTTAAGGGCTAAAGTTCTTTCTTTCTTCCTTGTGACAGCTTCCCGAGGTGCAGAGCTGTGTCTTTTTACAGTGGCACGCTGCAGATGCCAGTTAGACTAGAGGGCATGCAGCTGTCACAGAGCAGCTGCTGTGAAATGTCCCGTGTGTCACCAGAAGTGCTCTGCGGGGCACGAGGCTTCCTGCGTAGGTGGCCCCACAGGTCACACTTGACCTCCTGGCCTTTCTGCTTGTGCTCTTGACAGTGACTTTGCTGTTGCTGGAGTGTGGCTGTCACTGAGCAGGCTGCTATGGCAAGGCTCCTGCTGTAAGTGCCGAGCATCCAAGTGCCTCTGGCGGCACACTTCCACATGCGTCCATTCTCCCGCATTGGTGTCTGGAGCACTGATTCCGAGGGTTGGGGTCAGAGTACCGCACAGTGTTGTGACTGTTAGCAGGTTGCCAGGGGCACGTAAGGAGAAGGGTAAAGGAACACCTCTTTTTAAATTTCATTTAATTAATTAATTAATTTTCAAGACAGGGTTTCTCTGTGTAGCCTTGGCTGTTCTGGAACTCATTGTGTGTAGACCCAGCTGGCCTTGAACTCACAGAGATCCACCTGCCTCTGCCTCTGCCTCCTGAGTGAGTGCTTGGATTAAAGGCATGTGCCACCACTTACCAACTAAAATGTATTTTCTTCAGTAAATCTTCTTAAGACTTTTTTATGTCTATGAATGTTTTACCTGCTTATATGTATGTGCCTGGTGCCCATGGAGGACATCGGGTCCTCTAGGACTAGAGTTACAGATAGGTTTGAATCACCGAGTGTTTACCTGCTCATGTGTCTACGCACAATGTATGTGCTTGGTGCCCATGGAGGTCAGAGGGGGCATCGGATCCCCTGGGACTGGAGTTACAGGTAGTTCTGAATCACCACATGAGTGCCAGAAACTGAACCCAGGTTCTCTGGAAGAGCGCTCTTAACTGCTGAGCCAACTCTCCAGCCCCATTCATTTTCTTTAAAAAGACAGAAGTAAGGGCTGAACACCTTCTCCAGTCATAAAGGCATCTATTCGTGTTGCCTGTTCTCAGCCTTGCCTGCTTGCTTGTTGGCATCACACAGCTCCCTCCCTCCGTGGAGCCAGCGGCCTCCCTGGGCTGTAGTGAGGGCCTGTCTTGACCTTTGACCCTCTCTGGACTTCTCACTTTGTGCCTGGAGAAGGCCGGTGAGCCCATTTGCAGGAGGAAAGTGAAGGCGGAGGCAGAGGAGGCAGTGACTGTGGTCTGCTCTCAGCAGCAGGCATAGGCATCTCCTTTCCCCACAGTTTGCTGCAGAAGCAGCGGCGGCTGCTGAAGCTGGAAGAACAGCTGGCCCGACTGCGCGCGCAGGCCACAGACAAGGAGGAGAATAAGCAGGTGGCGCTGGGCACCGCTAAACTCAACTATCTGGACCCCAGGATCAGCATTGCCTGGTGTGTAGGCCTGAGGCGATCGTGTGTGACCCAGGGGTTCTAGAGGTCCCAGTATTGTCCCATAGGTACCCCATCCTGTACCTGACCTTGTGCTAGGCACAATTTCCTGGGACAGGGACCACTTGGATGTCCCTGATACTGAGTCCTCTTATCTTTAGGCCTCTTCCTTCTGAGCTTTGGGGGTGGCTGGGGCTGGCAGTGTCCTGGAAACACAAAATCATATGGGTGCTTGTCCTTCCCACTGGGAATGGGGGGCAGGGCAGGCCCAGTGGCTACCTTGACCAAACTAGGAATGTCTTGATACCTGGGGAAGAAATACAGTTGGTTGTGGTGCCTCGGACAACAGGTCTGGATGGCACAAGGTGTCTTGCCCACCCTGATGTGCTGAGGACACCCCCCTCTTCCCACACCTTGCCCTCCAGGGCAGGACTCAACGTTTGTTGTTGCCCACAGGTGTAAGAGGTTCGGAGTGCCCATAGAGAAGATCTACAGCAAGACCCAGAGAGAGCGGTTTGCCTGGGCCTTCGAGCGGGCAGACGAAGACTTTGAATTCTAAGCTGCTCCTGACACTTTCTCACTGTGAAGCAATGCTGTCGTTTTCTGTAATAAAATTTTGGGGGGACAGTGTCTGTTGTGGCCTAGAACAAAGGCCCCAACAGCCTGTCCTTGGAAGCAAGCACCCTCAGCACGTCCTGACTCCCCACCAGGTGCTTGTAGCCCCCCAGGCTGAGGCTTCTGCTTGAGGAGGGAGCAGAAGAGAGAGGAGGTGCCTGGAGGCTGGGGCCCCTGGGACCAATGACTGTAACCATAGCAATCCCCATGGTTACAGCTGTGCCTTATCAGCTCCTACCTCAGCCACGCTTGAGATGGAATCTAGGACTTAAACATGGCAGGCACACATTTTATCACTGAGTGTACCCCTGCCCATCTATAAATTTCGGTTTGTGTCTTTCTGCTTCTGTTTCCCAACCTTGTATTCTTCCATTCTGGTCCTGCTCCTTGAGTTTCTGTGCCTTCTGTCTTTTTAGCACGCGTTGCCTGGGCTCCCAGCAGCTGTCTGCTCCTCTGTTCCACTGTCATCCCTGGAGTGCTGTGCCCTGCTCCAGGGATTAAAGCGAAGTCCCAGCTTTCCATGTTGAGTCCCTGGCAAGCCCAGAGGACTCCAGAAGAGCGTGGTGGTTGTTGTTGGCTCTCCAGGCCTGGGATGCTGGCACAATGGCTGATATGTGCCAGAAGCAGCCACAATTACAGGACTCAGTGAGCAGGGTCCAACTCTTCCACAGTTGCTCTATGCCCCCCCCCCCATCCCCAACTCCTGGGCTGCCCATTGCTTGCCAGAGGCGCTGGAGCCCTGCCCTGCCCTGCCTTGCTCAGTTCCACCCTCTACCCCTCAGTGGCTGCAGACTTTCCACGGTCGGAGGCTATGCCTACTGTCAAGGGGTGATTATGCCCGTGAGTCCACCGTGGCACACAGGCGCTACCCACGGCCTCTGTGCTTAGCCAGACGGCTTCATTGCTGGGCAGCAGTAACCAGGGCCAGTCTAGTCAACTAGATGAAGGAAAAGGCACACCTCTGTGAAAATTGTACACAGCTGCTTGACTGGGTAGAACTTTCTGGAGTGTGACAAATCTAGAACCAGATAATATGCAGCCTCTTCACTGGGGGTGCAAGGGGATAAAGAGGCAAATGCATAAGGACCGAGCAGGGGACAGCCTGCTATGTTTAGAAAATAACCAGAATCAGTTTTGTAAAGGAACACAATGATAGGCTCCTACACCAAGATGGAGGGCAGCTTAGCTTAGAGAATGTGGGCACCTCTGGGCAGGCTGTCATCTGCTCCACACACTCACCCGCCCTCAGGAGCTCCATTCCATGGTATTCTGGCTGTGGGCAGACCTGACCACTCCTTAGTTTCAGGGCTCAGCCCCAAATGACTCTTAGGGTTCTAGACCCCCAGGAAAAGACCACGGACTCAATCTGGATTATAATTAGTTCAATTTATTGATACTGCTAGCAGGACAGCAGTCTCTGAGCCAGACTTGAGGCTGCTGGGTGAAGGGGGTGAGGGGAGGATTCTTAAGGCAAAACCCACAAGACCTTGAGTATCTGCACACAGAAGCCAGGAGCCGTTCTGCTCTGCCAAGATTAGGTAGCCAAGGAGAACTCAAATAGTCCTCACATGTCTGCATAAGCAGGTCACAGAAGCCAAAGAGCAGTTAGTCATATCATGATGCGTAGATGTCACGGCTGTGCACTTTTGGGTGGAGGTCACTGCGTCAGGGTTACTGGGAACTTATCTTCAGGGACTGGAGTCAGAGACAGATGGCTGGTGGGTACCAAGATGGATGCCTAGCACAAAACAGTTCCTTTAGCCACCATACTTGGACACAGGACATGTCCTGCCATGTACCGGTAAAGCATCCCCATCTCAAGAGGAGCAGGTTCACCCACAAACTTTATTGGTGTGTGCGCTATTCATGGTAGTGCACCCTCTGGTGCTGGATGAGCTGGGAGCTCTGGCCAAAAGCCTTGCCACAGGTGCCACAGGCGAAGGGCTTCTCACCCGTGTGAGTCCGCAGGTGCCGGAAGAAGTGTGACCGACCTCGGAAGGCCTTGCCGCAGTCTTCGCACTTGTAGGGCTTCTCGCCGGTGTGAATGCGCTGGTGTTCGATGAGCACGGAGCTCCAGATGAAGGCCTTGCCGCACTGGCTGCAGACATACGGCTTCTCCCCGGTGTGCAGCCGCTGGTGCCGCACCAGGTTGGAGCTCTGGCTGAAGGCATGGCCGCACTCGCCGCACTTGTAGGGCTTCTCGCCGTTGTGGATGCGCAGGTGCTGCGTGAAGTGTGAGCTGTGGCTGAAGGCCTGGCCGCACTGGCCGCACTCATAGGGCTTCTCGCCCGTGTGGATGCGGTGGTGCTGCATGAAGCCCCACCAGCTCCCGAAGCGCTTGCTGCACTCGTGGCAGGCGTAAGGCTTCTCCCCGGTGTGGATGCGCTGGTGCTTCAGCAGCAGAGAGTTGTACTTGAAGCTCTTGCCACAGGCCTCGCAGCGGTGCGGCTTGGCGCCCCGTGGGCCGGCCTGCCGGCAGCTGCGCCCCAAACTACTGCCCAGCTCGGCAGCCTTCTTGGCGCTGTCCTCGGCCCCTTGGGCTCCCTGTGGCACGAGCACCATGTGCCAAGTGTCCCTTTTCTGAGAGCAGGGCAGGGTCCCTGGAGGCAGGCCTGCTGACTGCTCCACGGTACATTCCTGGCCAAAGCTGTCCCCACAATTAGACATGCTGGGGAGGCTCTTCAAGAGGCCCCTCAGAGCCCTTCCATCTGAGGCCAGGCCATCTCCAGGACTGTGGGAACTGAGAGAGGCTGGAGTCTTCTTAGGCTCCCACTCAGAGTCTGAAAGGAAAAATGGCAGATGGCTCCCAGCCTCACCCCTACTGTGGCATTCTAAGAGCTGAGGCCAGGGAAAGCCTGAATGGGGACTATTCAGAGGAGGGAGAGGCTGGTTGGTGAGAGTGTGCCTAAGGTGAGGAATGGGGGTGGGCCAGAAGACTTATAAAGATGATTTCAGGAGTAGCTAGGCCCCGTCAGCTGGAGGCCCTGAGCCTGGCCAGGAGCCTCTCTGGTGGTTCACTACACCTGTGATGCCTCTCAGCTGGGAGAAGGAAGTACAGGTTGCTACTAAGGGTTAGCAAGGACCTGGAACTTACAGAGCTCTGACAAGTAGTCCTTCAGGCTGAAATGCTGGGCAGACACTCATCTGACCCCACAAACCTCAGGTGATGGGAGTGTCTGAGGCCGCTCTGCCAAAGGGATGGGGTCTGGATGATCCTAGGATTCACTCTTCCTATGGAACTGACCATGGCCTCAGCATCACAGACACAGCCAAAGCCCTGTCCACCCAGCCTCTGTGGGCAGACAAAACTGGGAGCGAGGCTTAAGCAGAGTCTCAGCAGGATGGCCCTGACCCTCAGCAGGTCCAGGGAAGTGATGAGGGTTACATCCAGTTGGGGTCTCCCAAGGCTGCCTAGGGTGGGACAGGGGCTGCTCACTCACCAAGCCAGGTGTCTCTGCTGACTTCCACTTCCTCTATGTCTTGAAGGTCCAGGTCTGCTGCCTCGGGACTGGAACAGGGGGAGCCTGGAGGCAGGGGACCAAGGCTCATGCCCCACCCTCCAGAGGGTGGCGTTCCTGACCCTTCCCTCTTTCCTGAACCCCAGAGTAGGACTCCAAGGCTCTAGGGCCAAGACCCTGACACATAGGACACCCCTCACCTACCCAGCATCTTCCTGTGCCCTGAAAGAGAAGATCAGCCCAAAGTAGTGCCAGTGCCCTGGCTTCCCCATTGAGGGAGCCCTCCGGAGGCCTGGCTTTGGAACTCATCCTCCCTCAGTTCTGTAGGTGAGCACAAGTGGTCCAGACGGCTCCTATGCTCATCCCATGCTGGCTGCTGTCCTGGCCGACTCTGGTCTGGCTTCCTGCCCACCCTCAGTGCTCACTGCACTCGGTCCTGCAGCTGCCCCAAGGCACCATCTTCTCCCTTCTCAGCACCACAAGCCAGCCATGGCTCCTGGTCTGTGTCTGCAACTTCAGAGCAGTCCTAGGACTGTTTGTCCCCTACAGCCAAGCCAGGCCTCCTGCTTGGAGAAGGTTAGCCAGGGTGGTTTGGAGCCTTTCCTGTAGGTCCCTGGCACAGGGACCCATGTGTATTGTTTGCTTATGCTTTTCCTGTGTTCCTCACATCACGCTACGCCCAAAGGAAAGGACCCTGAAATGACTGTGTGCGAAGGTGACTCTGCAGGCTGCTGGGACCTAGATGTCTTGCATGGGCCTCTTTGGGCGCCCAAGGTTCCTAGGAGTCCCGCGAACTGCAGGCAGGTTTCAGAACATTGGATCTTCTCTGGTAAAGAATCTGGAATGAGCCTGGAGCAGTATAACACATGGTAATCCCGGAGACTTAGGAGGCTGAGGCAAGGAGACCTCAAGTTTAAGGCTCGCCTGGGCAACACTGTGAGATCTCTGCCTCAATGAAAACAAAAGACGCCAAACAGAAAATGAAATCCATGGGCCTCCAAGCACTGAAGCAGCAGCAGAACAGAGCTCGGGCTCAGTTCTACCTGCACTTGCTGGCAGCTAGGAAGCAGGCCGAGAGCCCACCTATCCCTGCATATCTGGGCAAGGGATGACTGCCATTCCCTCATCTGCCTCTGACCCTCAGGGCCTTCCCAAGCTCCACTAGGACATGGTATAAAAAAAAAAACTCTTCGACCAACAACTGTACCTTACCCAGAATCCACGTTTGCTCCTTTGGGTCCCTGTTGTTCACAGGCCCACCAGGAACAGCACAGTGCTGTAAGGCCCTGTCCAAGAATTGTCCTTGTGACAAGCAGAAGAGTCCTGGAGCCAGGCAGCAAACAGGACAGGGCTTGGGGCTCCTATCTGGTCTTGGGATGACCACTGTGGGTCCTGAGGGAAGTGAGATCTCTGTCCTTATCTGTGAGTGCCCATCTATAAGCTGTGGCTGGTCTCTGGCATCACCTAAGAGCCTGGCACAGAACACAGCTGCCTGCCCTCCATAAACTTCAGCTTCACTGGATCAGCCACCATAATTCTAGACCTGCAGGAAGAGCTGGTCCCATGTGGGCTCTTATCTTCACTGGCCCTACCTCATGGGAGCAGTGCGGCTTCCTATGAGCCTGGGGGATGAAGCCTCTGGACGACATGACCCCGAGACCTGAGGTGTGCTCAGTGGTATGACAGGGTTAGGACCCCTTCTACTTTGACTGATGAGGCCACCCCATTGGCATGAAGCAAGGGCAGCAGCTCCGTCCCTGCAAGTCCTGAGGCAAACTTATCCAAACTGGCCAGACAAGAGTCCTGTCTCTCTTCCTGGCCTGGGACATGATGTCAGAGGGAAATCTTCTCTTCCTAGCACAGGGCCCATGCTGAGGCCATTGTTCCTTCTATACTAAGGAAGAAACATCCAGGGGGCTGTTCCCAGGGAGTTAGAGCATGGTCACAACCACTGCTGCAGCCCATCACTCCCTCGGGGCTTTTCCCAGAGGCCCCAGCACTGAAAGAGCTACCCAAGTGGGCCCTCCCTTCCTTGGTTGGGCAAGACCCAGGTCAGCCCAGTCTCATGGGGGTAGAGGTAGGGCAGAGGGGCATAGAAGTCTGGGGCAAATACCGTGAGGATGCACATGGTGCTGGTTTCCAGGTGTCCCCGGTGATGACAGACTGCTGGGTGACAGGACAGGAGCAGACTCCTCAACGTCCTCTAAGGTTGCCATCTTCCTGAGACCTGCTCAAGGAGTATGCACCTGGGACCTAAGGAAAATGAAAGCCAAGGTAGACGAGGGGATGGAGGCTGTGGGTGGAGAACATCACGTCTGCTTTCTGAGCAGCCCTAGGTGATTCTTAGCTTCTCTACTTAGCACAAGAAGGTTGCCAAGAAAAGGCAGGTGAACTCCTGGGGAGTTGCAGGGCCCAGTACAAGGGGCCTGCTTGCTTATTTGGTGTGAAACCCTCATTGGTCCTAGAAGCATCACCAGCAAGTCAGAGTGGCCTAGAAGCTCTTCTCAATAAAGTATCCTAAATGTTCTTCCCAACATCGCCTGCAGAGAAAAGCTTGCTTATTCTTCCAGAGAGTGCTCCTGCACCACAGTTGGGGCTTTGGGATTATGAGGCATGAGAACTCTAAATCTTTTTTTTTTTTTTTAAAAAAAAAAAAAACACTGTAAATCTAATTTTTAAAGGAGCGACTCATGAAAATAGGAAGGGATACATTCCCAGAGGGAAAACTTTTCCTCAGATCCTAAAGACCCTCAGGTTGTAGTCCCCAAGCCCAGATTTCCCACAGCACCATCCACAGGTGTGTGTGTCAAAGGCATATTGGTTGAATGCCTGCTTAGCATGCGTGACGCCTTGAGCCCATCATGATTAGTTCCCAGCACCACAAAAACTGTGTGTGGTGGAGCATGCCTCTAACTCCAGCAGTTTGGGAGGTAAAGGCAGCAGAAACAAGTTCGAGTTCATCCTTGGTTACATAGCAAGTTCAAGGCCAGCCTGAGCTACAGGACTCGAGAAAATTTAAAAAGGGGAGATTTTCCCTTAACTTGGTTTGTCATAAACGAATGAAGCCCAAAGAGAGAGGCCGGGTTTTCTTCCACAGTGACACGGGCAGAAAGGATGACAGGGAACACAATACGGGGCGGCAAGGAGCAGCAGCACCCGCCGGGAGAAGGCAGAGGCGCTGGGTGCTGGCGCGGGGCGGATGCTGTGGCATCACAATGCCGGGTTCCCCAGGTTGAAACCACGCAAGGTCAGGGGTCGGGGCTGACCGGAATCTCGGCAGAGGAAGCAAGCGGAGAAACCCGCGGATGGTACAGGTCCGAGATGGACCCACTGGGAGGGGCGATCACTCACCTTGCGAGCGGGAGGAGACCGCCCGCGCGTTGGCCGGAAGTGCTCCGCCTCCAGGAGTTCCCGCCCCCAATTCTGGGACGCTCTGGACCCCGGAGGACCTCGCCTTGGTGGTCTCTGGGGGGCTCAAATCCTTTATTCTGTGTAGCTTCTCCTTGGAGGGTTTCTGCTCTATGGCCCAACAAAGATCCGTCTGGAGAATCTTTTCAAACCAGCCGAAAAGCCCGGCAGAGACCCTCGTCTCCGCGCGAGAAAGAAGCGTCAGAGCCCGGGCGTTGGGCTGCGGAGGATTTCGTATCTGTGCTGGAATTGGCCCCAACCAGGACCTCACACGTTGTTTGAGACTGCAGCTGACCTTACACACAGCCTTGCAGACTTTGTCAGGGGTGCATCCTCGCATGTGGTTGTAAGAATTCTCGCTGCGATTTCGTAACCAGCAGCAGCATCAGGACCGAGGAACCTGCTGTCCCTTGTGACTGAGCTACTGCCAGTTATGGAGTTCGAGATCACGAGGGAAAAGACCTCCAGACTTAATTCAAATTATAATTAAGCATTTCCTCCCCCACCCCCCCACCCCCCCGAGACAGGGTTTCTCTGTATAACAGAGTCCTAGCTGCCCTGGAACTCGCTTCGTAGACCAGGCTGACCTCGAACTCACAGAGATCCATCCGCCTGCCTCTGCCTCCCAAGCGCTTAGATTAAAGGCATGTACTACCACAACCGGCTCCAAGCAAAACATTTTAATGCTGCTAGCAGGGCCGCAGTGTCTAACCTAAATCAGAGACGTGCTGCCCAGAAGCGGGCACAGTAAGAAGGGATTTAAAAGAGAAAAACCACAAGAGCTGTCTTGTTCTGCCAGGATTTGATTAGATGGTCAGAGTGACTTCAAAATAGTCCTTGAATGTCAGGCCGATGGGGAAAGGGGTGTCAAGGAGTCAGGGTTGTCAGACAAACAGCAATTAGGTTGGATGCCTATTACAAAATGGAGTTTCTTTAGCCATCACATCAGGCACGTGTGATCCCTGTGGTTAAAGTGCGAGGGTCTCCACTCCCACTCCCCCCCCAGAGAGATTCCCCGGAGAGATATTAATCTCACAGCCTTCACACTCAGATGGTTGATGCAGAACCTCCAGGCTTGGTGCTTGGATTTACAGCCTTAAATTGCAAAGTAGTAGGAAAGGCCCCAGCTGGGTTTGTTAGGTTAGAAAAATGGGACACACTCCCTTTGTCCACTCAGCAGAACGCTACCCAGCTGGATTTGGTCCCAGCTGGGCCCCTCGGGTGTGTTTGGGAGTGCAGAGCGGGTTCCATCTCACCCAGCCGTCACATGAACTCCCTAAGCTTCCCCAGGCAGGAGGGCTAGTTAACCCCAGAATCCCTTACATGAGGTTCTGGGAACCCTTCCTGTACACACGACTGGTCAGTGTGTAACAGGCCTCCAGACCTTAGCACAACTGAGTCCGTGATGGAAGTACCATTTCAGAACACAAAATTAAGTACATAGACACTACCCACCTGCCAAAACAAAAGCAAAGATCTAATCCACCAAAGCCCATGCTTCTGGGAAAGTCTATATTTAAATGCACTAACTTTGCTTTTTGGCTTCTGTAGTTCTGCCTCTGGCTTCTTGTTAACTGAAGTGTGTCAACCCAGAACGTGGCTTTTGTGCTTAAAAGCCCATCCCGAGAAAGACACAGGCTACCCTGGAATTCTGAACTCCCAGTGTAGTCATCAGGTTATTGGCTTAAACCATCTTCAAGCAGTCTTCCCTGAGTGGATACACCACGACATTTCCGGAGGTCCCCCGGAGATTCCCAGAGACCAGACCTAGAAACATTGGGGGTCTCAGATCCCCTCAGAGCCGAAAAGAGTGCAGTGACCAAGGAGCTCCTACAGGATGGGAAACCTGAGATGTCCCAGGAACCGGGGACTCCCTTTGATCAGTCCCTGCCTAACGCTTTCATTGGTCTGTCACCTCTGCGGTAAGACTGGTTAAGAAGCTTCTGTTTGGACATATAGGAAAGGTCGGATGTGGCTGTACCCAGGATCCATGTGAGACATCACTATATTCCTCCTGGCTGTTCAAGCGTATGAATGTGTGGTGGCCACCCCTGGTTGTCTTTACTGTGTGTCTCTGTGTGTGTGTTTGTCTGCCTTTCCATTGTTTCTGACAGTTCTGTTTCCCCACGTTGACCAGTGGCTTTCTCTGGTGTAAGACACACACACACACACACACACACACACACACACACACCNTTTTTTTTTTTTTTTTTTTTTTTTTTTTTTAGCCACCACATTCCCCAATGGCCCCTTTAGAAAGAGTTGGGGAACTAAAATTTAGGGCTCCTGGTATCTCTAGTGTTTGACATGTAAAGCAGCAAGACAAAATAAACACCTCAGTAAAATCTGGTAATCCTGAAGTCAGCCATCAGTCAGATCTCAGCCCCCATCTTGAGTAACCCTTGTTGGTTTGGTTTCTCTGTGTAGACCCGCCTGCCTCTGCCTCCTGAGTGCTGGGATTAAAGTGTGTGCCACCACCGCCTGGCTGAGTTCCCTTTTCGTAACTCTGATTTTAACAGGTGTTTGCAATATCAGAGGATCCTGGAGGCAGCATGAGCTTTGGTGTGCTAATGGGCATCATAGGTAGCCATTTGTCCCTTTTGCCAGAGAAGGGAAGTGAGTCCTTTCAGTAGAGGGGAACTAGTTCCTTTTGGATCTAATATTCTAGCCTTCTGTTAAGGAAAGGGACGGTGTGCCCTCTTCTGTGACTGCTTTTCAGCTAAACTTGGGAGGAAGGCTGGGAAGCTGGTCAAAGGCCGAGGGGGGAGGGTACATCTGGTTTGCTGGACCATGTGGAGATTCCAAAGTTCAGGTAGTTTTGGAGCAGTCTGGAATGCTCAAGCTGGTAGGAAATGTTGTTAGAAACATCTGGTTTACATCAGATTTCGGTAAGTCCAGGGCTCTTAGTAACTTTGGAGCAGTCTGCAGTCTGTGGTTGACTGGAAATCTGCTGGGACAGATGCAGACTTCAGGCGGGGACAGGAGTACTTATCTGAAGTGTATTTGACAGGCTGATCTAAGGTGAGACTCTGAAGCGCACATGAATTTTTTAAGTTTACAAAAAGATGAAAGTTTTAGGTATATTAGCATCACCATCGTTTGTATTCCATTGAGATCTCCATTTTAGAAAAAGCGCTGTCTGTGAGCAGCTGGAGCAGACCTTTGAGCTATAGCATGAGCCCTCCCTCTATCCGGAGGGCTGGGTGTGTGGTCAGCACAATGAGAAACTCTAAGTCTAAACTCAGAAAGCAACAAAGGACACTTTTAAAACTGAGCTTGTGATGATGATAATAGGAGCAGTGCTTTTCCAGAGCTATGTTAATGTTCTTCAGAACACCACTGGTTACTGCTAAAACACTGGACTTCTGAAGTCTTAGTGCAACAATAGCATAGCACGAAAGGAATCTGAAACTTTAACAATTTTTATATACTTTACTTTTTGGACTTTACAACTTGCATTTACACACCTTAAATCACTTCCTCAGACCTTATGGCTTGCGCTTACACGCCTTAAATGACTTTCTTAGACCCCCACAGTTCATCTGAGCTTTCGGATCCTCAGACCTTTTACGACTTGCATTTCTATACCCTACATCATTTCCCTGGACCCTCGTAACTTTTTTTAATTTTTATTTATTTATTAAAGAAAATTATTTATTTTTAAGTATACAGTAGTCTGCATGCCTGCAGGCCAGAAGAGGGCACCAGATCTCATTACAGGTGGTTGTGAACCATCATGTGGTTGCTGGGAATTGAACTCAGGATCTTTGGAAGAGCAGGCAGTGCTTTTAACCACTGAGCCATCTCTCCAGCCCCCTCATAACTTTTACAAACTCCAAATACTTTTTCCATCCAGTTATTTACCATGAGACATAGGTAGCTAATTACTGAGAGCAGTCACTGAAAAGCAAGTTTTGCTGGGTGGTAGGGCCACACCCGTACAGGCAGATAGATCTTTGAGTTTGAGGCTAGCTTGGTCTACAGAGTGAGCTCCAGGGCAGCCAGGGCTACACAGAGAGCCCTGTCTTTAAAAAAGAAAGAAAAAGCAAGTTTTAAAAAATAAAGGAATAGTAGAACTTACATTGAAACCTGTTTGCAGAGTTTATCTCTTTTAGTGTGAAGTTTGCCATTTTTCAGGAGCTTCAGTAGCTCTAGAAAAAGCAAGGCCTGATTTTTACATATCAAATGGGCTGACTAGGCAAGTACAGCTGTGTGTGTGTGTGTGTGTGTGTGTGTGTGTGTGTGTGTGTGTGTAGGGGTGGTCTGAGTGTTTGATGGAGGAAGGTCATTGGTTAGTAAAGAAACTGCTTGGCCTGATAGGTTAGAACATAGGTGGGTGGAGTAAACAAAACAGGATGCTGGGTAGAAGGAAGTGAGGTCAGATGCCATGCCGCTCCTTTACAGGGCAGACGTAATGAAGCTCCAACCCAGGATGGACGTAGGCTAGAATCTACCTGGTAAGTGCACCTTGTGGTGCTATACACATTAATAGAAATGGGCCAAGCAGTGTTTATATGAATACAATTTGGGTGTTGTTATTTCGGGGCATAAGCTAGCCAGAGGCCGAGAGCCTGGCAGCAGGAAAGAAGGCCCTCAGCTCCCTTCAACAAGTGTTTGCTGTTGTTGAACTGACAAAGACATCATCAGAGCTCTGATAAGGCTAAATCTGAGCAAGAAGTATCATTCAAATGGCCTATCAATTACCTGGTGGTTACCCTAGGCTCCTCCACGATGATCTGGATGGTTTCATTAGGGGCAGAGGTCAGGGTGGTGTCAGACTTTGCTGCCACACCGGGTAGTGTTGTGGAATATTATTTTAACTGGGCAAAGATGGGTTATGTTTGTTTATGCTGCATTTGTTTAATTATGTGAAGATGTGTTGAATTTGTTTCACCTTGCCTGCCTAAGGCACCTGATTGGCCTGATAAAGAGCTGAGCAGCCAATAGCGAGGCAGAGAGAGCATAAGCGGGGCTGGCAGCCAGAGAAAATAAATAGGAGGAGAACTCTAGGCTCTAGAGGAAGACGGAGAGAAGAAGAAAAGAGATGCCGGGGTCAGCCAGACACAGAGAAAGCAAGAAAGAAAAAAAAAAGAGAGAGAGAGAGAGAGAGAGAGAGAGAGAGAGAGAGAGAGAGAGAGAGAGAGAAACAGTTTAAGTTAAAAGAGATAGCCAGAATCATGCCTATGCTAGGCTGAGCATTCAGAACTAATAAGTCTCTGTGTCATGATTTGAGAGCTGGCTAGTGCTGGTACAGGGTAGCATCAGCCTTAAACTGCCAGGCTCAGATGACTGAGAGACATTCCTGTGGATGAGGAACTCGAGAGACTGGCCTCGCTTTGGCAAGGCAAAGTGGGGCAGTCAATTCTCCAGCGTCCTGTTTGTCCGTGGTTCACAGTATGAAACAATTATTTGTGCAGTGGTCGGTGTCCCCATAATCCAGGTGGAGGCCTCAGTGCCTGACCACAGTCTTTGGAGGAGACCTTAGGGCTGTTTCCAGGAGCTGGCATTTTTGTTTGGTATGGGAAGTTTTTCTTATTAAACATCTTAAATGCTATATTTCACAGATCTCTGAGGAGTTTGAGGCCATCATCTAGTCTATTTGGTTACCTGATTTTAAACAAACTTATTTTTTAGTTACTTTAGGCTTAACCTTGACAACATACACAGAAGGTTAAAAAGCTGTCTCTGTAAATGAATTATACTTTATTAGCATGACTACAAGCATAGTTCTGGGCACATTAAAGAATTTGGCCATTTATAAGGTGGCTGACCTGCATTCTTAATTATCTTCGGAAGTTTACAAATTAGCAGTTTTTACAAGATTAGGATTTTATAGTTTTATCCTTGCTTAGTTTTATCCTTAAAGATTTAATTGAGGGGCTGGAGAGATAGCTCAGCGGTTAAGAGCATTGACTGCCCTTCTGGAAGCCCTGGGTTCAATCCCAGCACCCACATGGGAGCTCACAATCATCTCTAACTCCAGTTGCAGCGGATTGGACACCATCACACATACATGCAGCAAAACACCAATGCACACAAAATAAAAACAAAAATATTTACTTGAAAATCCTTTAGAATCAAAATAAAACTTTAAACCATAAATACAGTCCACAGAGAGATTGGGAGACTTTTATCTTTATATCAGTTTTTTGTAACACTCAGTATACCCAAATAGCTAAATCTTAATGAAGTTAGCAAAGACTAGGAGGCTAGACAAATACCTCTAAGTTTCTGTTAAGCTGAGTAGACCTTTATAAATTAGGAACTTGAAAATCTTAATCATTAAGTAATTTTTTGCCTGAAATGTTACATTCCTTGCCCAAAGGTCTTTACAGATCCTGAGGGAAAGTTTGCATTAAACTGACTTTCCATGACCTTGAATGGGGGAACGTTTCCTTGGTAACAAGAACCAAGAAAAGGAGAACTCAGAGCTAGGCATCTGTAATTACATATAGTCGTGCTAATTTTTATATAAATTCTTTATTAAAAATTTAAATAAAAATGTAAATGAGGAACCACAGTAGCAAATAAGTATACCATTTATTGTAAGAAGTCTCTCCTTAAGGGGTGTTAGACAGTATCTGCACCTCTGCCCAGTTAGATAATGTCTGGACCTCTGCCTGGTGTGTTCCACAGCTTTCCCTCTGCTGCAGAGCTGGGCCCCATCCTTATTCCTAGTTTTTAGCTGGTACACCCTGGCTTTCCCAGAGAACCTTGGGGCTTCATGCAACTTAGGGCCTATTAAATACATTAGGAGGGAGGAGTGACTGGATGCTCAGATGAAGGCCCAGTGACCTCGTCTATCTCTTCCTTTTTGAGGAATAGTAATGGTTTTCAGGACAGGGTTTCTCTGTGTAGCCCTGACTGTCTTGGCACTCGCTCTGGAGACCAGGTTGGCCTCGAACTCAGAGTTCTGTCTGCTTCTGCGAGGGCTGGGAATAAAGGCATCTCTGCACACCTTTAATGCTAATGTTCAACACACCCAGCTCTGATGATTTGAAGCAGGCATATCTGGAGTTACCATGAGAGATTGTAGACAGGGCTTGATTTTACTATATAGCCAGTTTGTGTGTGTGTGCAGATGGAAGCAGCCAACCTGAACAGCTTCAGAAATATCTTTTTATAAAGTCATCAGGTTGCAGAATTCAAATATCTAGAGGCTTACACAGGAAAACTGTAAAAACAAGACTTCTGTGGGAACTCAGAAAATGTTGACATCAGCTTGCTTTTGTTTTTTACAGATTTGATTTTGTTTTTCAAGACAGGGTTTCTCTGTGTAACAGCCCTTGCTGTCCTGGAATTAGCTCTGTAGATCAGGCTGGCCTCGAACTCACAAAGACTGGCCTGCCTCTGCCTCCCAAGTGCTGGGATTTAAAGGTGTGTGCCACCACCACTTGGCTTGTTTTTTTTACAGATTTGAATTATAATCTGCATTGGGTCTGTAGTCTTTTCTTGGGGTGGGGTGTCCCAAACTCCATAACATTTGGGGGCTCATTCAGGATTCCTGGAAGACCCCAGACTCAGGGCCAGGTGAGGCCTGGGAAAGCCTGAGACCAAGCCTGTCACAAATTAGAGTCACTAGTTGAGGACAGACCCTAGATGGGGGCAAGTACATTGTGGACTTGGAGGCCTAGGGGAACCCCAGACTGTGGCCACTGAGGATTTGTAAAAAGTGCCAGCCAACACATATTTGAAACGCAGACCCATTAGTGAGTTGTTCCGTTCTGGAAGTCCCGACATCTGGGGAGACATAGGGGAGATCAGATGTGATCATTGACCCAGTCTCCAAGGACAGAATGGGAGACGCCCTCCTGTCCCCCTGGTTCTAGCACAGGAGTGAAGGTGTCTGTGTTTCTCTGGTCTCCACTTGGACGTTCTGACTTTTTTAATGTTGTTTGGTGGATCTGTGTTTTCTGGTGTGTGTTGGAGTTTTGTTGCAGACATGGGAAACCAAACCACGCAGATTCTCCCTCCCCACAGATTCTCACTTCTGGAGCTTGGTTTCCCTGCTCCCTTCAGGGGCTTGCGCTGTCTCTTGCTTGGCTTCTGTTGCCTCTAACCTTGGCTAACCACTGCCTTCCCTCTTCTCGCCCCAGGAGCTGCCTGCCCTTTCTGTCCTCGCCTGCTCGCTGGAGTCGGCTGTTTAAGTCCCACAGGTGCATCAGGTTTATTGACTGAAACCGCTAGCGGGACAGCAGACTAGAGCCAGACTAGAGACTGGTGGGTGAAGGGGGTGAGGGGAGGATTCTTAAGGCAAAACCCACAAACAGACCTTGAGTATCTGCACACAGAAGCCAGGAGCCGTTCTGCTCTGCCACGATTAGGTAGCCAAGGAGAACTCAAATAGTCCTCGCATGTCTGCATAAGCAGGTCACAGAAGCCAAAGAGCAGTTAGTCATATCATGATGCGTAGATGTCACGGCTGTGCACTTTTGGGTGGAGGTCACTGCGTCAGGGTTACTGGGAACTTATCTTCAGGGACTGGAGTCAGAGACAGATGGCTGGTGGGTACCAAGATGGATGCCTAGCACAAAACAGTTCCTTTAGCCACCATACTTGGACACAGGACATGTCCTGCCATGTACCGGTAAAGCATCCCCATCTCAAGAGGAGCAGGTTCACCCACAAACTTTATTGGTGTGTGCGCTATTCATGGTAGTGCACCCTCTGGTGCTGGATGAGCTGGGAGCTCTGGCCAAAAGCCTTGCCACAGGTGCCACAGGCGAAGGGCTTCTCACCCGTGTGAGTCCGCAGGTGCCGGAAGAAGTGTGACCGACCTCGGAAGGCCTTGCCGCAGTCTTCGCACTTGTAGGGCTTCTCGCCGGTGTGAATGCGCTGGTGTTCGATGAGCACGGAGCTCCAGATGAAGGCCTTGCCGCACTGGCTGCAGACATACGGCTTCTCCCCGGTGTGCAGCCGCTGGTGCCGCACCAGGTTGGAGCTCTGGCTGAAGGCATGGCCGCACTCGCCGCACTTGTAGGGCTTCTCGCCGTTGTGGATGCGCAGGTGCTGCGTGAAGTGTGAGCTGTGGCTGAAGGCCTGGCCGCACTGGCCGCACTCATAGGGCTTCTCGCCCGTGTGGATGCGGTGGTGCTGCATGAAGCCCCACCAGCTCCCGAAGCGCTTGCTGCACTCGTGGCAGGCGTAAGGCTTCTCCCCGGTGTGGATGCGCTGGTGCTTCAGCAGCAGAGAGTTGTACTTGAAGCTCTTGCCACAGGCCTCGCAGCGGTGCGGCTTGGCGCCCCGTGGGCCGGCCTGCCGGCAGCTGCGCCCCAAACTACTGCCCAGCTCGGCAGCCTTCTTGGCGCTGTCCTCGGCCCCTTGGGCTCCCTGTGGCACGAGCACCATGTGCCAAGTGTCCCTTTTCTGAGAGCAGGGCAGGGTCCCTGGAGGCAGGCCTGCTGACTGCTCCACGGTACATTCCTGGCCAAAGCTGTCCCCACAATTAGACATGCTGGGGAGGCTCTTCAAGAGGCCCCTCAGAGCCCTTCCATCTGAGGCCAGGCCATCTCCAGGACTGTGGGAACTGAGAGAGGCTGGAGTCTTCTTAGGCTCCCACTCAGAGTCTGAAAGGAAAAATGGCAGATGGCTCCCAGCCTCACCCCTACTGTGGCATTCTAAGAGCTGAGGCCAGGGAAAGCCTGAATGGGGACTATTCAGAGGAGGGAGAGGCTGGTTGGTGAGAGTGTGCCTAAGGTGAGGAATGGGGGTGGGCCAGAAGACTTATAAAGATGATTTCAGGAGTAGCTAGGCCCCGTCAGCTGGAGGCCCTGAGCCTGGCCAGGAGCCTCTCTGGTGGTTCACTACACCTGTGATGCCTCTCAGCTGGGAGAAGGAAGTACAGGTTGCTACTAAGGGTTAGCAAGGACCTGGAACTTACAGAGCTCTGACAAGTAGTCCTTCAGGCTGAAATGCTGGGCAGACACTCATCTGACCCCACAAACCTCAGGTGATGGGAGTGTCTGAGGCCGCTCTGCCAAAGGGATGGGGTCTGGATGATCCTAGGATTCACTCTTCCTATGGAACTGACCATGGCCTCAGCATCACAGACACAGCCAAAGCCCTGTCCACCCAGCCTCTGTGGGCAGACAAAACTGGGAGCGAGGCTTAAGCAGAGTCTCAGCAGGATGGCCCTGACCCTCAGCAGGTCCAGGGAAGTGATGAGGGTTACATCCAGTTGGGGTCTCCCAAGGCTGCCTAGGGTGGGACAGGGGCTGCTCACTCACCAAGCCAGGTGTCTCTGCTGACTTCCACTTCCTCTATGTCTTGAAGGTCCAGGTCTGCTGCCTCGGGACTGGAACAGGGGGAGCCTGGAGGCAGGGGACCAAGGCTCATGCCCCACCCTCCAGAGGGTGGCGTTCCTGACCCTTCCCTCTTTCCTGAACCCCAGAGTAGGACTCCAAGGCTCTAGGGCCAAGACCCTGACACATAGGACACCCCTCACCTACCCAGCATCTTCCTGTGCCCTGAAAGAGAAGATCAGCCCAAAGTAGTGCCAGTGCCCTGGCTTCCCCATTGAGGGAGCCCTCCGGAGGCCTGGCTTTGGAACTCATCCTCCCTCAGTTCTGTAGGTGAGCACAAGTGGTCCAGACGGCTCCTATGCTCATCCCATGCTGGCTGCTGTCCTGGCCGACTCTGGTCTGGCTTCCTGCCCACCCTCAGTGCTCACTGCACTCGGTCCTGCAGCTGCCCCAAGGCACCATCTTCTCCCTTCTCAGCACCACAAGCCAGCCATGGCTCCTGGTCTGTGTCTGCAACTTCAGAGCAGTCCTAGGACTGTTTGTCCCCTACAGCCAAGCCAGGCCTCCTGCTTGGAGAAGGTTAGCCAGGGTGGTTTGGAGCCTTTCCTGTAGGTCCCTGGCACAGGGACCCATGTGTATTGTTTGCTTATGCTTTTCCTGTGTTCCTCACATCACGCTACGCCCAAAGGAAAGGACCCTGAAATGACTGTGTGCGAAGGTGACTCTGCAGGCTGCTGGGACCTAGATGTCTTGCATGGGCCTCTTTGGGCGCCCAAGGTTCCTAGGAGTCCCGCGAACTGCAGGCAGGTTTCAGAACATTGGATCTTCTCTGGTAAAGAATCTGGAATGAGCCTGGAGCAGTATAACACATGGTAATCCCGGAGACTTAGGAGGCTGAGGCAAGGAGACCTCAAGTTTAAGGCTCGCCTGGGCAACACTGTGAGATCTCTGCCTCAATGAAAACAAAAGACGCCAAACAGAAAATGAAATCCATGGGCCTCCAAGCACTGAAGCAGCAGCAGAACAGAGCTCGGGCTCAGTTCTACCTGCACTTGCTGGCAGCTAGGAAGCAGGCCGAGAGCCCACCTATCCCTGCATATCTGGGCAAGGGATGACTGCCATTCCCTCATCTGCCTCTGACCCTCAGGGCCTTCCCAAGCTCCACTAGGACATGGTATAAAAAAAAAAACTCTTCGACCAACAACTGTACCTTACCCAGAATCCACGTTTGCTCCTTTGGGTCCCTGTTGTTCACAGGCCCACCAGGAACAGCACAGTGCTGTAAGGCCCTGTCCAAGAATTGTCCTTGTGACAAGCAGAAGAGTCCTGGAGCCAGGCAGCAAACAGGACAGGGCTTGGGGCTCCTATCTGGTCTTGGGATGACCACTGTGGGTCCTGAGGGAAGTGAGATCTCTGTCCTTATCTGTGAGTGCCCATCTATAAGCTGTGGCTGGTCTCTGGCATCACCTAAGAGCCTGGCACAGAACACAGCTGCCTGCCCTCCATAAACTTCAGCTTCACTGGATCAGCCACCATAATTCTAGACCTGCAGGAAGAGCTGGTCCCATGTGGGCTCTTATCTTCACTGGCCCTACCTCATGGGAGCAGTGCGGCTTCCTATGAGCCTGGGGGATGAAGCCTCTGGACGACATGACCCCGAGACCTGAGGTGTGCTCAGTGGTATGACAGGGTTAGGACCCCTTCTACTTTGACTGATGAGGCCACCCCATTGGCATGAAGCAAGGGCAGCAGCTCCGTCCCTGCAAGTCCTGAGGCAAACTTATCCAAACTGGCCAGACAAGAGTCCTGTCTCTCTTCCTGGCCTGGGACATGATGTCAGAGGGAAATCTTCTCTTCCTAGCACAGGGCCCATGCTGAGGCCATTGTTCCTTCTATACTAAGGAAGAAACATCCAGGGGGCTGTTCCCAGGGAGTTAGAGCATGGTCACAACCACTGCTGCAGCCCATCACTCCCTCGGGGCTTTTCCCAGAGGCCCCAGCACTGAAAGAGCTACCCAAGTGGGCCCTCCCTTCCTTGGTTGGGCAAGACCCAGGTCAGCCCAGTCTCATGGGGGTAGAGGTAGGGCAGAGGGGCATAGAAGTCTGGGGCAAATACCGTGAGGATGCACATGGTGCTGGTTTCCAGGTGTCCCCGGTGATGACAGACTGCTGGGTGACAGGACAGGAGCAGACTCCTCAACGTCCTCTAAGGTTGCCATCTTCCTGAGACCTGCTCAAGGAGTATGCACCTGGGACCTAAGGAAAATGAAAGCCAAGGTAGACGAGGGGATGGAGGCTGTGGGTGGAGAACATCACGTCTGCTTTCTGAGCAGCCCTAGGTGATTCTTAGCTTCTCTACTTAGCACAAGAAGGTTGCCAAGAAAAGGCAGGTGAACTCCTGGGGAGTTGCAGGGCCCAGTACAAGGGGCCTGCTTGCTTATTTGGTGTGAAACCCTCATTGGTCCTAGAAGCATCACCAGCAAGTCAGAGTGGCCTAGAAGCTCTTCTCAATAAAGTATCCTAAATGTTCTTCCCAACATCGCCTGCAGAGAAAAGCTTGCTTATTCTTCCAGAGAGTGCTCCTGCACCACAGTTGGGGCTTTGGGATTATGAGGCATGAGAACTCTAAATCTTTTTTTTTTTTTTTAAAAAAAAAAAAAACACTGTAAATCTAATTTTTAAAGGAGCGACTCATGAAAATAGGAAGGGATACATTCCCAGAGGGAAAACTTTTCCTCAGATCCTAAAGACCCTCAGGTTGTAGTCCCCAAGCCCAGATTTCCCACAGCACCATCCACAGGTGTGTGTGTCAAAGGCATATTGGTTGAATGCCTGCTTAGCATGCGTGACGCCTTGAGCCCATCATGATTAGTTCCCAGCACCACAAAAACTGTGTGTGGTGGAGCATGCCTCTAACTCCAGCAGTTTGGGAGGTAAAGGCAGCAGAAACAAGTTCGAGTTCATCCTTGGTTACATAGCAAGTTCAAGGCCAGCCTGAGCTACAGGACTCGAGAAAATTTAAAAAGGGGAGATTTTCCCTTAACTTGGTTTGTCATAAACGAATGAAGCCCAAAGAGAGAGGCCGGGTTTTCTTCCACAGTGACACGGGCAGAAAGGATGACAGGGAACACAATACGGGGCGGCAAGGAGCAGCAGCACCCGCCGGGAGAAGGCAGAGGCGCTGGGTGCTGGCGCGGGGCGGATGCTGTGGCATCACAATGCCGGGTTCCCCAGGTTGAAACCACGCAAGGTCAGGGGTCGGGGCTGACCGGAATCTCGGCAGAGGAAGCAAGCGGAGAAACCCGCGGATGGTACAGGTCCGAGATGGACCCACTGGGAGGGGCGATCACTCACCTTGCGAGCGGGAGGAGACCGCCCGCGCGTTGGCCGGAAGTGCTCCGCCTCCAGGAGTTCCCGCCCCCAATTCTGGGACGCTCTGGACCCCGGAGGACCTCGCCTTGGTGGTCTCTGGGGGGCTCAAATCCTTTATTCTGTGTAGCTTCTCCTTGGAGGGTTTCTGCTCTATGGCCCAACAAAGATCCGTCTGGAGAATCTTTTCAAACCAGCCGAAAAGCCCGGCAGAGACCCTCGTCTCCGCGCGAGAAAGAAGCGTCAGAGCCCGGGCGTTGGGCTGCGGAGGATTTCGTATCTGTGCTGGAATTGGCCCCAACCAGGACCTCACACGTTGTTTGAGACTGCAGCTGACCTTACACACAGCCTTGCAGACTTTGTCAGGGGTGCATCCTCGCATGTGGTTGTAAGAATTCTCGCTGCGATTTCGTAACCAGCAGCAGCATCAGGACCGAGGAACCTGCTGTCCCTTGTGACTGAGCTACTGCCAGTTATGGAGTTCGAGATCACGAGGGAAAAGACCTCCAGACTTAATTCAAATTATAATTAAGCATTTCCTCCCCCACCCCCCCACCCCCCCGAGACAGGGTTTCTCTGTATAACAGAGTCCTAGCTGCCCTGGAACTCGCTTCGTAGACCAGGCTGACCTCGAACTCACAGAGATCCATCCGCCTGCCTCTGCCTCCCAAGCGCTTAGATTAAAGGCATGTACTACCACAACCGGCTCCAAGCAAAACATTTTAATGCTGCTAGCAGGGCCGCAGTGTCTAACCTAAATCAGAGACGTGCTGCCCAGAAGCGGGCACAGTAAGAAGGGATTTAAAAGAGAAAAACCACAAGAGCTGTCTTGTTCTGCCAGGATTTGATTAGATGGTCAGAGTGACTTCAAAATAGTCCTTGAATGTCAGGCCGATGGGGAAAGGGGTGTCAAGGAGTCAGGGTTGTCAGACAAACAGCAATTAGGTTGGATGCCTATTACAAAATGGAGTTTCTTTAGCCATCACATCAGGCACGTGTGATCCCTGTGGTTAAAGTGCGAGGGTCTCCACTCCCACTCCCCCCCCAGAGAGATTCCCCGGAGAGATATTAATCTCACAGCCTTCACACTCAGATGGTTGATGCAGAACCTCCAGGCTTGGTGCTTGGATTTACAGCCTTAAATTGCAAAGTAGTAGGAAAGGCCCCAGCTGGGTTTGTTAGGTTAGAAAAATGGGACACACTCCCTTTGTCCACTCAGCAGAACGCTACCCAGCTGGATTTGGTCCCAGCTGGGCCCCTCGGGTGTGTTTGGGAGTGCAGAGCGGGTTCCATCTCACCCAGCCGTCACATGAACTCCCTAAGCTTCCCCAGGCAGGAGGGCTAGTTAACCCCAGAATCCCTTACATGAGGTTCTGGGAACCCTTCCTGTACACACGACTGGTCAGTGTGTAACAGGCCTCCAGACCTTAGCACAACTGAGTCCGTGATGGAAGTACCATTTCAGAACACAAAATTAAGTACATAGACACTACCCACCTGCCAAAACAAAAGCAAAGATCTAATCCACCAAAGCCCATGCTTCTGGGAAAGTCTATATTTAAATGCACTAACTTTGCTTTTTGGCTTCTGTAGTTCTGCCTCTGGCTTCTTGTTAACTGAAGTGTGTCAACCCAGAACGTGGCTTTTGTGCTTAAAAGCCCATCCCGAGAAAGACACAGGCTACCCTGGAATTCTGAACTCCCAGTGTAGTCATCAGGTTATTGGCTTAAACCATCTTCAAGCAGTCTTCCCTGAGTGGATACACCACGACATTTCCGGAGGTCCCCCGGAGATTCCCAGAGACCAGACCTAGAAACATTGGGGGTCTCAGATCCCCTCAGAGCCGAAAAGAGTGCAGTGACCAAGGAGCTCCTACAGGATGGGAAACCTGAGATGTCCCAGGAACCGGGGACTCCCTTTGATCAGTCCCTGCCTAACGCTTTCATTGGTCTGTCACCTCTGCGGTAAGACTGGTTAAGAAGCTTCTGTTTGGACATATAGGAAAGGTCGGATGTGGCTGTACCCAGGATCCATGTGAGACATCACTATATTCCTCCTGGCTGTTCAAGCGTATGAATGTGTGGTGGCCACCCCTGGTTGTCTTTACTGTGTGTCTCTGTGTGTGTGTTTGTCTGCCTTTCCATTGTTTCTGACAGTTCTGTTTCCCCACGTTGACCAGTGGCTTTCTCTGGTGTAAGACACACACACACACACACACACACACACACACACACACCTTAAGAACTGTGCCTCTTGTCGGGGACCCAATCCTTTTGGTTCTGCCAGGTTGCCCAGAGAAACCAAAACCAAAACAAACAAAACAAGAAAACAAACAAAAACCAAACCCTCCTTCTGTCCCACTTCCAGAGCACAGGCTGGTTTGTTTCATCCTTGAATCCTGCTCAGGATATCCCTGCAGAGGCAGGGAGGGCCCCCTCCGGAGGCCCCCCCCCCATCCAGGGCCCCCTGCCCACAGCAGCAAGCACACAGGGAGGGGGAGATAGTTTCCCTGAGGTACTTTCCCTCTGCTCCCCAACCTCTTCTAAGCAGCCTAGAGGAAAGGTAAAAAACGAAGCTCCACTCCTTCCTCTTTCATGATTTAAGTCTCCATTTCACCCAAAAATCATCATTCTCTGGGAAAAAAAAAAAAAGACTGTTTCCAGGCTGGGAGCAATGGGTGGGGGCCAGTGACTGCTGGACAGTGCAGCCTGGTAAAGCAGATTTTTCCCTTCTGTTCAACACAGATCAGGAGAATTTAAACTCTGTTCATCAGGTCCTTTTGTTTTGGTTTTTGAAACAGGCTTTCTCTGTGTAACAATCCTGGCTGTCCTGGAACTTGCTTTGTAGACCAGGCTGGCCTCGAACTCAGAGATTTCCTGCCTCTGCCTCCTGAGTTCTGGGATTAAAGGTGTGCACCACCACCACTAGGCATCCAGGTCCTCTTTAGGAGGAGTAAAAACAGTTGCTGAAAATATTTCCTTTGTCATCTAGTCAGCCCCAGATATTAGATAATATAGCATTATATATTAGTTAATATACAAGTTAAGAAATTTAGTCATGGGTGGTAGCCTATGCCTTTAATCCCAGCACTCAGGAGGCAGAGGCAGGCAGATCTCTGTGAGTTCGAGGCCAGCCTGGTCTACAGAGTGAGTTCCAGGACTGGCTCCATTGCTACTGAGAAACCCTGTCTCGAAACACCCCCTTCCCCCCACAAAAACAATTTAAAAATTTAAAGGTATAAATAGGTCCCAGTTGTTGGAGGAAGCTCAAAGGTGTTTAACAACAGAGAACTGATTGAGAGACGAGACCTTTGTGTGATATGAAAGCCACTGTCACCTTCTCGGATGATGAGACACAGTTAGACTTACAGATTCTGCCAGAAGAATATCTCCTAGCGGAAAGTCCTGTCCCCAGACAAAGGATACAGCTCTCAGATTTACAATTCCTGGGGATATGGGCAGAAACCAACCCACCAGGACAGGCTCAACACCAAGTTCCTTATAATTGCTCAACTGATCAGTTCAGCTACTCTCTGCAGACTAAACAATACCCAATGACCCTGGAAACGAAAAGGGAAGCTGTGGTCCCCATTGCCAGGCTTAGAGAGACAGGCATCCGGGTGCCCTGCCAGTCACCCTGGAATACACCTCTCATGTCTGTCAAGAAACCTGGGACCTCTGGTTCTCACGAGTCTGATTCTTCCAGAGAAACAGGTGTGCACTGTCTTGGACCTGAAGGATGCCTTCTTCAGCCTCCCGTGGGCACAGGTGAGTCAAACCATTTTTGCTCTTACATGGTCAGATCGAGAAAAAAGGTTACAGTGGGCAACTTCCCTGGACCAGGTTGTCCCAAAGATATGAAAATTCTCCAGCCAGCCCTGTTTGATGAGACACTAAATGCTGACCTCCTGCTCTTCATCAGAGGTTTCCTGGGACCACACTCTAACAACGTATACTCTAACCAATCCTCCTCCTAGCCTCTAAAACTAAAATAAATTCTAAAGGGGCCACTGAGGGACTGCAGCAAGAGTGACCTTGGTCTCCAGAGCATCGGCTAAGAAGGACCGACTTTGTACATTAGAGGTTACATCTTGGCTACCAGCTGAGGGGAGGCAAAAGGAGCCGGTCTCAGAGTAGGATTGCTGCCGTCCTTCAGATCCCAGCTCCAGCGCATAAGAGGCAGGTTCAAGAGTCCCTACATGTGGCTGGGTATTGCTGCCTCTGGGTACCAGAGTTTGCTGAAATAGCAAGGCCTCTAAACAGCAGCACAAAGGGTGCGGCACTGAGCCCCTAATCTGGACTGATACTCAACAAAAAGCATTTGAGGCCTTAAAAGTAGCCCTGACCGGCTCCTGCCCCAGCATTTCCAGATGTCTTAAAACCTTTTCATGTGTTTGTCCATGAAACAAAGACATTACAAAGAGGGGCTTTAACCCAAAATCTGGGATCATGGGAGTGCCCTGTGGCATACCTGTCCAAAGGATTAGACCCTGTAGCCACAGGATGGCCCACCTGTCTAAGAGCTGTGGCAGCTACCGCTGGTCTAAGGAAACAAGTGAACTCTGGTCAGGATCTTATACCCACAGTGCCCCACACTGTTGAGGCTCAGGAGTCTGAGAAAAACCAGAACACTGGCTATCTAATGCCTATGTGGCCCAGTCCCAGGCTGTACTCCTGGTCCACCCTTATCTTAATTAGACCAAGGCGATTTTTATAAAGGAAAACATTTAATTGGGGCTGGATTGCAATTTCAGAGATTTAGTCCATTACTGTCTCGGTGGGAAACATGGACATATGCCGGTAGACATGGTGCTGGAGCCCCGCAGGCAGGAGAAGCAACTGTGTGCCACACTGAGCTTAGCTTGAACATAGGAGAGCTCAGAGCCCGCCCCCAGAGTGAAGCACTTGATGTAGGTGGGTCTTCTGTTTGTGTTGATTTCATTGGTTAAATAAAGAAACTGCCTTGGCTCTTTGATAGGACAGAAAATTAGGTAGGTGGAGTAACAGAACTGAATGCTGGGAGGAAGAAGGCCACAATTCTCAAACCCAAGACAGACGTAGGCTAGAATCCTTCCCGGTGAGCCACCACCTCATGGTGCTACAAAGATTATTAGAAATGGGTTAAGCAAGATATGAGAGTTAGCCAAGAATGGGCCAAGGAGTGTTTAAAAGAATACAATTTGTGTGTTGTTAGTTCGGGTGTAAAGCTAACCACGCAGAAGCTGGGCGGGATGAAAAGCAGGCCCGCCGCGCCTGCTTGCCC